CGTTTTTCGATTGGCCCCACCCCATTAAATGAAAAACCTTTTTTAGGACAAAAATGATTCTTTTTTTCAGGTTACGGCAGCGTCAGCGAAGGTTGACATCGCGAATCATCGCGAATCGGGTTGAAGTTTGCTATTGATGCCATTCGAGGGATCTTTCTTCTTTGTATTTGCTGCAATAAATGGCTGGTGTGGTGCAGAGAGACTGCGAGAGCAACAGCCTACGCAAGGCATTGAGTTGCAGCGAATCGCCGTCCCAACCGCGCCATTGGTGGAACAGCCAAGGCTGGACACGAATCGAGGACCTGCTCGAGTTGCAGGAACTTCGGTGCAACGCGCGCTCTTAGGCGTTACTGTTGCGATGGTGTTAATTTCTCCGGTGCCTGCATGCGATAATTACGGGAGCGTTGAGGTGTCGCATGACGAGTGTACCTGTAGCGGAAATAATGCACGGTGCATTCTCAGGTAGAGATCTTCTTGAATGGGCTCGAGCCGGAAGGCTGCGTGTCCCTTGCTACCCCGTCTAGATTTATAGCGCAATTTCGCCTCCATTTGCTGAATATTGAAAAAGTCTGTGTGCCCCGAGCCAAATATCGGACTTATGCGGGATCGTTGGTTGTCGATCGAATCAGTCGTTGTAATGGGCACGGGTATGCGATCTTACGATAAACGTGCTATATTGGAATAACGTCCCTACACACTATCTATAAAGACCACAGTAAAAGAGAGCCCGCCACAATGTCCATCAAGACTAATAAACCGTCAATGCGCAATTGTACACCTCAAGCAAAAGATATCAGGGGAAATATAGTTTGTAGTTCGCAGTTGAAGGGCTTATGATCAGCCGTGAGAGCCGCGCCGAACAAACTACGCGGTTTGCGAACACTACGCCAGTCACCCTTGTCTCTGGAAGACAATAGCGTATGCTTCATTCAACAAGTCCCGGAAATAGCCAATGAAATAAAAAAATTAAAGATTCCTGGGTCATACCAAAAAAGGCGCTTGACATCATTTTCTGGAAGAAGTCCAGCAACTTGCGGGCAAACCGGCCGATTTCTACAAAGAATGCCCGGGCTAAAACACCTATCTCGGGCTATTCAAAAGCAACATCTCTCCAGATCCAGAACTTTATTACGTTGCAAAGTATCCAAATTGTGGCTTTTATGGGTGGAACTCAACTCGGAGCGGAACAAACAGATAGTGCTCTACTATCACACGAAAGCACATCTGGGAGCACACTCAGGAGCCGAACGAACGCTTGATCTCGTGAGGAAACGGTTCGTATCGAACAATCAAAAACGCCAAGTTGATGCTATAGTAAATAGCTGCCGAGAATGCCAGGCCCGAAAGTAAGGACCTTGCGCAAATTCCCATTGGGAAATTCGAAGTGGCCACACGACCGTGGCAGCGGGTCCACATAGATCACTGCGGGCCACTTCCACAAACTCCGCGAGGTATGAGATACTTCCTCGTGCTAGTGGACGCATTCTCCAAATACACGATCACGAAAGCCGTACCCGACACCAAATCCGAGACCACGATAAAGGCAATTTATGAGGAATTGCTTACCAAGCACGGATTTCCGAAACAAATCGTGTCGGATCGAGGCTCATCTTTTACGTCAGAAGCGTTTAAAGAAACTTTAAAACTCTTTGGGATACACCAAAGTCTGGGACATGCCTACGTCCATGCCACCAACGGCATCGCTGAAAGGCAGAATAGAACCATTGAAGCTTGGCTTTCAGTGGTTATGAAAACACAGGAAGTTCCCCCGGAAGAATGGGATATTTATATCCCACTCATTTGCTATGCGTATAACCGCACACGACACACGACAACGGGAGTGTCTCCCTATGAGGCACTTCATGGGATACATCCCACAGACCCGGAAGACTTCTTAGAAAACCGCCCAACCTGGAGCTACGATACACCAGAAGATCTGCAAGATGTCTTGAAGCTCTCGCTTCCTACTATATGGGCTAAAATGAAACAGAAGATCGGAAAGTCGGCTGAAATGAAACAGTAGAAGAAAAATGAGAATCGGGCAGAGAAGAAATACGCGGAAGGCGCCCAAGTGATGGTAAAAAGAGAGAACGCGGGAAAATTGGAAGCAGCCTGGGATGGACCATATTCGGTAATCAAAGACGAAAGATCGTCAGTCACTCAAAAAGGGAGGACAAAAAGAGGCCAAATCGTCGTGCATAAGAGCCGCGTAAAACCCAACAAGACGCAAACTACAAGCGCAGAAGAAGAAGAGAACACCGAAGATGAAGACAGGACTGAAGAAGACGATGAAGAAGTCGGAGATCGGTAAGTAAATTCGGTATCTCAGGTCGGTAAATTATCGTTGGACCCGGTTCGAGTGGTCAGGTTAGAAATGGTCGGTAGCTGGTCGTAAGGAATTCAAGATATTTAAGAGATTCATACCTAACCTAATTCAGTCAGTCCTAACGCTACACCTAAGAAACGAACATCTAAGGCATTCAGAGGTACACACAATTATAGCCAAATAATCTTTCGTTTACATGATATTAATCCTTGTCTTTTCATTTTTATTAACGATTATTTTTGAATCAGCTAGGCAGCGACATTTCTAGCGTCCGTAAAAAAACTGATAAAAATATAAATGTAAAATATAATATTTTAAGATATTTTCAGGTTACCAGAGGTGAAACGGAATGTTGTGTAATTGGTATCCAAGCGTTACGCTACGAACCCGGAAATGACGGAAGGCCCTGCGGTCTCCATCAACCCAAACAAGGGAGAACACATCCAGCCATCCACGGCAAAAATCTTTATTTTTGAAAGTATAAATACATGCAAACTGTGGTTGTATAAAAACGCAGTTTGGGGCATGACAGAAACTCGCACGGCAAACAAGACTCGAAGTCATCTTTATACCAGCTAAAATTCGACGCAATTTCATCAATTTTGCACGATTTTATGCGCCTTAAAAACACTGGGAATTCATCGCAACTTTTTATTTGAATTTTTTTTGATTTTTGAAGAATGAAGAACTTTACCCATTTTTCCATTTATTGATCATTTACAGCTACGCGTTTAACCAAATAACGCAGAGCAGGATTTGATTTGAACACTTTCTAGTTTTTAAAACCCCCATAGCGCACGAAATTTCTTGAAAATATCATAAAAACATAATTTTAATTTCATAATCCGTAAATTCCCGCGTGATCGGATTCAAATTGAGCGTCATTAACTCTGCCTATCGATGCGTCGCAATTCCGTTGCGGCTTGGTGCGTGCTGTGTACAGAATGGCCAGAAAAAGTGCCGGAAAGAACAAAAAGAAAAAAGGACTCGTTAAGAATTTTTGAACATTTTTGAAAAAGTAGAAAACTTTGAAGCGATGAAGTATAGGGGCTTTTGATGAGTTAGCGGGATTTCAAAGGTATCAAAAGGAAGCTCTGGCATTGGTATTGTTAATATCTATCGATTCAGTGTAATGTCGATCCGTTTAACCAGCCGTCAATAGGAGCGTTCGGAAGCAGGGACTTTTGGAAGGAATAATTCCAGATAAAATTTCTTTACCATCCGATCTTTCTAATATTTTGCAGTTAGCAATAAATACCTGCTAACTTTTGGGATCAAGTTTTTCAAACTCCCCATCAAAAAATTTTTGTAACACTTTGCCAGGTCGGCGGAATTTGTAATTTCTACGCTTTCTACGAGTTAAAATTTATAACATGGTTATCTTTGGTAACCAGGATTATATATTTAACAGGTACAAAATGTTATGGCAACAATGGGATTTTTGTGGTCAACTGGGAATCGCCCCTTCTGGAAAAGTCCCGATCTTCCGAACGCTCGTATTGACGGTTGGTTAAACGGATCGATATTCTTTATCACTGTATCGATAGCGAATTGCCAGAGCTTCATTTTGATACCTTTGAAATCCCCCTAACTCATCAAAAAAATCCATGATTTTCCTTTTCGAAGTTTTCTATTTTTTACAAAAATGTTCAAAAATTCTTAACGTGCCAAAAATCATAAAAAACAACTTGTGTTTATTCTTCATACCCAGCATATTTAAGCATTCCGACAAGGTAACCATGGTCTGATTAGTTTCCCTTGTCGAGATATTTCAGTGCAAACCAGGCACTTTTTTTCTGGCCACCCGGTAGGAACTCGGAAACCCTAGAACCGAGCCATTTCTGACGGCACCGGCGTGAAAAAAAATCGCTAAATTGCAGGCCAAAACCGTTATTACAAGTCTGATTCTATACCAAAATCAATCCCCCCCCCCGATATAACAAAAGTACCCCAAACCCTTTCAGAACATGGGATCCGGCATCGGGCACTGGTGAGAGTGCTGGTAGGTCATGTGAAGCAGAAAGAATTAACTGCGTTTTTCTTGTTATAAAACATCATTTTGATTCCGAATTAGGATCATAAGCTAAAGCGCATTTCGAAATTACAAAAGATTACAAAAAAACGCCTAAAATTTAGGGCGGGCGCTGATGGTGACGGTGTATGTTCCCTGGAAGGAAATGGATGAGTGGGATGGAGAATTTGTCGCTATAAGTATCGCGTTGCCTATTCGCTGATGCAAGACGATGATCATCACAGCGGTTGCTGTGATCCGTCATTTTGTTCACATTTTGTAGGAATCAGGCTTGTAAACCAATTTATTCCGATTATGAAATTTTCCGCAATCGTATGTGGGTGGTCATGCGATAAATAAGGACGTTTCATGTCGTAATCGGTTCCAAGGCATCGATACCGTAGGGCCTGATTCATACGGTCATCTTATTCTTACCTGCTTTTCGCGAAACTAATTGTTTTGGCGATCAAGCCCCTAATTTTATAAAATCTAACTGCGATACAATTCATAAAATCTGCGGTGAGAAGCCGGCATCATAAAAGACCTTAAAAACAGTAATGTTTATGTCCATTCGCAGATCCCATGATCAATCAGTACATTGCATTGCATATTAATCAATAAATACAATTTGCATTTAAAATGACATCTGCAAAAACACAGTTACGTTTGTTTTTCATCCGCATCCTCCATCAGTGAAAAAACAATATTGTAACCGACTGCTCCGCTTTTGCAAATTTGTTGAATATGGCCAGTCAGCATCAGCGTCAAACCTGAACGTTGAGAATTTACAGGAGCATGGCAAAACAAAAAAAACCCGTTACCTTATTTCCTCTGATATAATCCCCGGGGTTATATTTTTTCAATCACCTCAGGAAACGGAGTTGTACAAGAAGGAGGGTTAGATTGCTCCTGATTTTGAGCAATTACAACGAGTTTTAAGAGTTTAAACTGCTCACAACCACTCCGGAACTCACAAGAACAAGTACAGAACTTAAACAAAAACGTTTTTCGCATTTTTTACTTGATACAAACAACTTAGAAAATTTTTTTCTGGGGGGTGGCTATATTAGAGGAAATACGGTATTTTGTTGCCTTACGTTAAACATCCGCAATCTCTGCAATTAAGTCATCGTGATACTGCTTGATCCCGAGATCGAGATGGTGCCCCAATAAAAAAAGCCCTAATTCGACGCAGAAGTATCGGATCGGAATACACTATTCGGAATCCCTTAAAACGGCGAGTTTGAAACAATCTTCAAAACCATGTTTTTACTTAAGTACATTATTTTGCAAGAAATTTCCTAGAATTTTGGAGTTCTGCCGGGTTGCATATGAAATGATTTGTTTCCATGTCCAACATCATGACCCGAGGGGAGGCGTTTCTGAATCTTCTCAATGCGTTAATGCATGCACTTTAAGAAACAACATGATTATGAAGATCCTCTTCAAGAAGCGCAAGAAACTGCATGTATAACCGCTATAGCATCACCATAACCAACCAGAGCTGCGTCCAACTTCGCGGTAGAAACGACACACGCAGAGCGGACCCAGTTCCTGAAAACGCTTTTCTTCCTTTTGTACAGCCTGAAAGACCGACGGACAAGCATAATTATTAAGAGCCGTAACCGAATGTCTCACATATTTTCCCCGCCATAGATTGTGTAGCTCGGGAGGCTCCCTGTACGGCTGCTCCCTCAGTGCCACATATCTGTCGAATGCTTTTCGAATCTTCGCCACTGCTTCGCTTTCTTGAGGCCAGTCTATTTGCACGAAAGCCGGCAGATGGGCCGCAACTCCAGCCTATGAACTCATATTTTCACTAAAAACCAGGGTTGAAAAACCGATTCGCTGTGTTTGAAAAACCCTGCTGGCCCTGTCTAGCCTGGCCCTATGAACGCTTACGCTTTCATAAAAAAGCCTCCCACGGCGTTTGGCCGCCTTATTTCCGATCGAGCTGAAATTTTGAGGGGAGGTACGGAAGGCCAAAAACTATATAATGTGTTAGCTTAGAAAGGTTTAAGTAGCCGGATACGCGCGAGAAAGCGCGATGAATCTTCCATCACCAAATTAGCAGCCATTAAGCCTTCATTAAGCCTTCAGCCTTCGGCGCCAAAAAGGGGTGCGAACTGGATGCAGAAGCCATCGGACTCCTGCCTCGCAAACATGACGCTTTTTCTTTTTTATAACGTTAATTTGTTGATTGCTCATCAGTTAAACCATTGAATTTTATGCAATTTTCGGATGCAAATGAGCCTTATCTTGTGAAGCAAATTGCCCTGTGTACGTTTCTTTTTGCGTTTTCTCGCGTATCCTGCGACCTAAAGTTTATAGTTATATAGTTTTTGGCCTTCCGCACCTCCCCTCAAAATTTCAGCTCGATCGGCAATAAGGCGGCCAAATGCCGAGGGGGGTTTTCTATGAGACACCCTCTAGTTCTTTCCGATGACTATGAAAAAAATGACAGCGCGCCCTCTCCCCCTTTTTATAAGCTAGCTCACCGCGAATGCTAATTGGTTCCGAAGAAACAGGATGACCGAGAATTTACAAAAACCTAATTTGAAGATCAAAAATAGCAATTTTTCAAAACTTTTATGTGTGTGCGCTCTATTTCTGGACATTCTAACCCTAATGTGTGCCGCGTAGCTCAAAATGTTTGCCGCGGCAGACAAAGATAGAAAAATTATTATTCGATTTTCTCCTCAGGTATGTGACCGCTTTTGCCCCAAAAAAGACGCAGCAGCCCCTGGAGTATGTTTTTAATTTTACCTGTATCCTTTTGGAGAATAGATCGTGGCCATCCCGGTGTGGCGAACCTTTCCCAACGAAAATGTACAAAAAACCTGGTCGGCGGGATTCCTTCGGACGTTGAATAAATTCCTGTAAAAAGTATTTTAATGTGTTGCGGAAGCAAGAAACGAAAGTCTTTTGATTCAATTACGCGATGCCAGTACGGCACACCCCTTTGCACCGCGCCCTGTGTGCGCTCCCCACTCCCCCCGGGATAACCCAGTTTTGTGCGTGTCTTTTTCATTCTTTCCACTCCGCCCGTCTTGTCCGGCTGCTTGTGTTGTTTTAGGCTATTGCCGTTATCTAGATAAATACTTTGTCCTCTCTTCTTTCGTCATATCAATTCAGGTGTCAAACGACTCTCTCGCAAGGTATTCCCTTGGAGTGAGCCAGCACTCAAGAACTCACGCACAGTCACACCTACAACATAATGAAAGTACAAACAATTCAATCCCTCTACAGGCTTGCCGAAAAACGGAGAGGCTCTCCATAAAATCTGATTCTCCCGACCTAGAGGGGGATTTTTTGGGCCACCACTTTTGTCCTTTTGCTACGCACCGACAGCCATTCGTAGAAACGAGTTTCAATTCTCCATATCAATGCTTTCCCAGGCCATCCTTCACACTGCCTCCGGTACCCTTTTACTTCACGCTGAAATTATTTAAAATTTGCTTCTCAACAGTGTCGTTCGCTTCTCTTTTTGGAACGCGGTTTGAACGTACCGGTCGACGAGATCTTTGGAAATCATGCTGCAGTGGTATGCTAAATTCCTGAAACGAACTGCCAGTCAATATTTCGAAATCGGATTTGGCCGCTGTTGCAGTCATAAAATTATTCTTTCAGTGTACCTCATCGAGATCAAAACAATCCGGGCGCCCGCCCAGGAAGCGTGGCACGTTCCGGAATAGATACTTGAAGCACATCGAGTATCGGCACCAGCCGATATGGGTGATTCGAGAAATCACGCGCCCGAGCTAAAATAATAACGAAAAATATAGAAATAGTGCATGAGGCGCTGTCGAAACTTGTAGTGAAACCTGTCTCCCATCCGTTAGCATTGCTCGTCCATCCGACTTGCGAGTGACAAGCTGAAAAAGGATTTGTTAATGATCATAAAGTTGATGGCTTGTCCAGACTCCCAAAACCAAAAATGTCCGGCAATCATCAAAAAAATCTCAGGCTAAGCTCATCCTCGCGGGTTCAGATTTCGTTTGACACCTTAGAACTTTCTGTTTTTAGTGTTTGTATTTTTTATTGTTGTGTGGAGGTGGATCGCGACTTTCCCTCACCCCCGAACAAGGTAGATAAAACACCTACCTTAAGCAGCCGCTGCTTTTTTAAGCCGACATTCCTCTTCAATCGACGCCTTCTCGTGCGCTAAAAATCGATCAGGAAAACGCCGCCACCTCAAAATCTTCAATCAAAACAATCTTCATCGCCTTTTCAAAAATCTTGGGGTTTTTTTTTGGTTGGCAATGTTTCTGATTTTTCAGCGCGAGAAATATATTATCAGTTAGTGATGTTCTTACCTCTTCATTCTTCATTTTCTTTTCCTGGGGAAAAGGCAAGCTGAGTATCAGCGGGTCTCGGCGCATTACAGGGTGATATTTCTTGATCTGTAGCGTTAATTCCTGGACGGCACGAATACGGCCCAGTAGGCGTAGTAGTTGCCGCGAGAACCCTTGCTGTCGCATCAGACACACCCTGGTGATAAAATAGGGAAAGAGTTTATTTTACCCCCCCCGCCCCCACAGCTGGAGGTCGCCGAAAGTTTCCGATCGTTTTTCGGGATTTTCTTAACGCCATTCTATAGATCATCGAAAAAATACTAGGAGCTTTAATTTGAGCATAAAATAAAACAGTTATAGTCATAATCTCTTGGCTGGGGGGGGCGGGGAATGTAGAGTAAACTGTAGCCTAAAGTGGGATTGGTTTTGGTTTATGGGGGTGAATAAACAGCGTTTTTTCTAAATCGAAAAGCCGATGACGACACGGAGAACTGAAACCAATAAACGAACCGGAATCGGCGATTTTGTGCGTGTGGCCCTTTGTAGCGGTGATAGCCATGATCGTCCGACTCGCCTGCATCGGGTGACCCCCTAAATTTAAAAGGGCTAACAATGCTTGTAAGAAGTCTGGTCCAAGCCCCTCCGAGTTGATTGCGGGCATATAGCCAGATGCGGCCGCAACGCCGCCGCGCCGCATGATCCTAATGCTAATTTTCGCTCCCGAGCGCCTTTAAAAGGGAAGGAGTCTGATCCACGCCCTTAAGCGCTGATTATTGGTCAGGAGATAAAAGGGGCTGAAACGCGATCGCGCCGTATGTACTTACAAGGGCACCTCTTACAGCCTCGGCGGACTAGACTTTAGAAGGTTCCCTTGTTAGTCCCTAATTCTATGTGAAGACGTGCGATTTTGAGGTCCGTTTTTGAGCACTCAGGCGTTTTTATAAAATTCGCATTCAAGTCAAAGCTATAAACTAGAGATGTTATTATTCAAATCAAATCTGAGGATTGGAAAGTTTCTCAAATCAAATCCAGATTTGATTTGATTTGCCGGCAGACTCAAATCAAATCGGATTTGATTTGAACCGGAAGTCCAATTCAAATCAACACCTGGTAAGTCAAGCTAAAATCAAGTCTAAATCAACCTAATGCGAGAAAATGGATGCTTATCAGCAATTTCCGGTTTATTCGATGACCAGTGGAAAAAAAGACCGCTTCGCGGCCCTTTTGACGTCCACGACTGGACCCGTCCACGAATCATGAATTTTAATACTTGCTTTCTTTTAGCCTGCGGCGCAGGTACCTGAGTCAAGGAACTCCTACTTGGCCTGCGGCGCCAGAGTCAGCGTTGCGCTAGAATCTTTGAGTCTGCAGCGCTAGCTACCGATTTTTTTTATGGGGCTTAGCCTGCGGCGCTAGAGCGTGATTCAAGAAACTTGTCTTTGGCCTGCGGCGCGAAAGCCTGGGTACAGGACCCATCCTTGGCCTGCGGCGCGAGAGCCTGGGCCAAGGACTTTTTCTTTGGCCTGCGGCGCTAGGGCCAAAGCCAGGCCTAAACCTCGCACACCGAGGGCCCAGAAATATGTTTTGTTGCTGAACTGCCAAAAAGCAAAACGCTCACTTCCCCCAGGATCCGAACTCACGACCATCGGCGTGGTAGGCCAGACGCAAATCCGCCACACCCCGGGGCAGATGGGAACTGGAGGCCGGAAAGGCCTCTTGTGGTCCTGGGGGGGGGGGGGGGCAAAGGAATGGGGACCCACTGATCCCGGGAGGGGCCTTTGGTCGCTTAACAAAATTCCATTTTTGAGTCTGAATTCGCTAAAAATTCGCGACTGCAACCATCTGGCCTTCGGGCTACCCTACATGTCTCAATCCTACACATCCTTTCCTACCTCCATCAATACCCCCCATAGCCGAAATCCCGTTCAAAAACTACCTAAATACCTTCCTGATGGCTTCAGATACCCCCATGGCTGAAATCCCCTTCAAAAGCTACCTAAATACCTTCCCGATGGCTTTAGATGATTTAAATAATTAATTAACATAATTAAAAAGTATTAAAAAGTATTAAAGTAACGTAAAAAAGCTATCTGGGCGCGGGAAGGGGCCTGGGGAAGAGGGGCGAAGGGAAGGGGGCGTGGCCTCCCGGGAGAGGGGCCCCCACCCCTTTTAATAAGGAAAAAACTTTCAAAGTTAATTTTAATAATTTAAACTAAAATTTTTCATAATTTTTTTATCAGTTTGGGGGTTTCTGATGGCACTCTATCCGAATCCGAAGAGACCTAAGCTCTAGCTCCTTTCCCCTTCGAGTTGAATTCGGCTTCACACAGACGGACAGACAGACAGTCAGACGCGTCAAGATTTTTTCAAAGCCAGCGGCGCAAGAGCCTAACTCTAGGAACCATTTTCTGGGCTGCGGCGCTTAGCTACTGGTTTTTCTCCAGCATTTGGCCTGCGCCGCTAGAGCCCGGGCCAAGGAATGTGCTCCAAATTACAGACCGAGGTTCAATCAGGGATTCGAGTTATGGCCCGAACACACACGGCTCGCCGCCCATTTTGTTAAGGATTTTTACTATTTTGCTTGTAAAATTGCTAAATTGAAGAATTTCGAAAAACAAAAAATGTGTGTCTGGCAAATGCATTTCTCCGCCTCCATGCCAAAAATCAGCTTGAAATTAGGTCAGACGGCCGAGAAATCGGCTGCACAGAAAACAGACATACTTTTTTCGCTTATAGGATAGGATAATCATATGCAAAAAATCAAAATTTCCCTCTTTCCCTACATTTTTTGGTGCTCGACTTATGATTTACATCGGTGAGATGACTCCAGATTTGAAAGTTTCTCAAATCTGCTATCTGCTATATATCCTACTATATATAAAAAAGTAGTGTCTGTGTGTGTGTGTGTGCCACTTTGCATGCAACTTCCGTCACCTTGTCCGGAGGATATCTCGGTAGGCGATTAAATTTAAGGTACGTATGATACGTCATTAGGTGCGTAATGGGCTTGGGATGACTGCACGATTATCAGATTTAACAAAATCAGCTGTTTCCTACATTAATTTTCAGTTTTTCTAAAAATTTCGGGCGCCCTCTTTGTTAGGAAACAATTAGCATCCGCCGGAAGTTGAAGTAGCTTATATAAAGGGGTGGAGGGAGTGATTTTCATTTTTTTTTGTCTTCGCAATTCGGGCACAATTATGCAAAGTGAATAACATATTGAGATGAGACGGGGCCAGGGTTGAAAAGTCGCGAAGCGGCTTTTCAACCCTGGTAAATTTCTAATGTCCGTAAGCCCGCCGACCGACCGACCGACCGATCGGGAATACAGCCAAATTTTACATTCAAATTACAATTTCAAAATGTGGGGGGAGGGTCAGCGCTGGTCAACTCTAGATTTGTTTTGAAAGTCCAACCAGTTTCAAATATCCAGATTTGATTTCGGCGAAATCAAATCTCAAATCTTCTTATTCAAATCAAATCCGATTTGAGTAGGATTTGATTTGAATAATAACATCTCTACTATAAACCAAGTCAAGTTATCAGGTTCTTCAACGCACTTCGCCCCTCTCAGATGGAAAATGGCGTTGTGGCGGTTGTTGGCGAGTATCACCGTTCCGTCCCGACTCTCCACTCCGAATTCGAACGAGCTCAGCGACACCTAATTTTGAATTTTGGCACGACCAGATCAGGATAAAGATAAAACAAGAACTTGCGATGAATCATATTGAAAAATTTTAATTCCGGGATCGAAGGCAAAAGCCAGCAAAATGTACTGACCTTTTTCTGCTTAACTTTTGCCGCTGTTCCATGAATATAGAGGGCTCGGACACGGCCCGGGAACAATCCACGTCGTAGAATTATATGCCTAAATAAATAGCAAGTAAGGATCGAGTTCTATTCCATTATAGAGTTAAATAGTCCGATTTCCGATATATTACTTGAAACGGCACAACTGACCTGAATCCCTTGGTGGTCCGCTGGAGGGTGGCGAGGTCGTCTGGCTCCAGCCGATCAAGTACATCGGCAATTAATTGCTCAGGTAATCTTAACATCTAAAAACGTTCGAGTGTAGAAAATGAATGGTAAAACCCGAAACTATGGCAATTCTAAAAACACAGCTGAAAACACATTAAAATCCTCCGAAAATCGATGATTTCTTCGAGGAACCATCGAAATTAGCAAATTGCCGCTTAATCGTAGCCCAAATTGCAATAGTTTCGTAGTTTTCCAAAATCAAATTTGGCCCACAAAAAACAGCATAAAAAAGTTATTCAGCCGGAGATCTCTGGGAATTTCAAATTTCGGCTCTTCCCGCCATTCGCCCGACCTTCGACATAAAGGGCTCCATTTTTCGCGCCACAACCGGATTTTTTTGCAACTCGAGAAACCTTCACGACATGTCGTCTATAATTTTTTAAGAATAATATTAATCATACATGATGGTGTTTTTAGACAAAAAAAACCGAAAAATTTTTATACCACCAAAAAACATGAAAACACCGAAAAATCATATGGGTGAGAAAGAATACGGGACGGTAAAAGACAAAAAAAAGATAATTAAAAAATCAAATTCCAAAAATACGGGTCTGATTTCATTTGTTCACCAACACACAAGTATATTGATATGGGCCAGCATTGGGAGCAAGAAATAGAGGAGGAGGAGTGGACGAGCCGGGGAGCTAGGATTTTAAAGGGGCGGGCAAGGCATGGGTATGGATTTTATGGCTATAGATTCTCTAGATTTGACCGTGATCGCGACACGCACCGCCCGTCGCCAGATAGATTTAGGCGTCGTAATCGATTAATCAAAGGAATGGCGAGCAGAAACGCGTTCCTTGTCGCGGTGCGGCGGCCCAATCCATCTGGAGTATTTTACCGCGAGCGCGAGACGCGTGAAACAGATTACAAGATGGTGTCAAGCGCCGGCGTGTGCGTTGCGTGTCGCGGCTCGGCGCAATCCTTATTTTTACCGACACGCAACGCGGCCGCCGCTACGAGCCTAATCGATTACGCAGTGAAAATCCTGGGCGCGTCGCGTATCGCGTTGCGGCAAATTTTTTCGCGAATCCACAACAGCAATCCACAGTTTGGCCTTGCTCGCCTCTTTAAAGGAGTCGTGACAGACGGGTTTTTGGACAGAAAATGCTTTTTCAGAGGCCAAAAGCCTTGTCACACTTCTTTAAAATGGGCCTGGAACCGGGATGAGGAGAGATAGGAGGAGGGACGCAAAGATTAGGGCGTTTTTATGTCTTTTCTCTGGTTCGGGCTTACTGTTGAAAAACAAAATTGTGAAAGAGTTGGTCATTTTTAAGTTTTTTTTGAGGGTTGGATTGTTAATGGCCAGTGAAGGTTCATTTATAAAAATATTACAAATTAAATAAAAAATGTAAATTTTTGAAAATCCACACAAACATCAGAAAATCCACTTTTTATAGGGCTTATCCTTCTATGCTCCTTTAAAATCCAACACCCAGAAGAAAAGTTCGATTATTCACGGCTTGTCACAGCACTTTTCAAGAAAAGACAAATAGGCACGGGGATTCATTGCAATTCGATTGTGTTTAGGTGGAAAGAGTATTGTAGCGTAATGTAGCGTATCGGGGTTCGGTACCCCAATTCCATGGCGTAATCTATTGGATGCAGCACGCCCTGTGCTTCCCGTCGATGCCCTTGTATTTGAGCTTGCGCAACTCCCCGGTCGGCTTGTACTTCTCCAGGAAGATTAGTTGCTTTTGGTTTAGGGCGCCGCGTCGGTTCCTGAAAAGAAGAAATTTGCATATGCTGGGCTTTTTGTAATTTTTTGGCAAGCTAGACGAGATGATTTAGGAAATTTGGGTGAAATTCCGTTTTTTTTCGCGCCAACAATAAAAATCGTACTTCCTGATGAGTTCGACGGCGTCCTCGTACTTCATCCCGGCTTCAATGAGTGCCAGCGCGACAAGAACTGGAGCTCTTCCCAGCCCCGCCACGCAATGGACGGCAATACATTGACCCTCGTGCTCCTTGAACATCTCCTTGGCTAGGTGCAGCCATTTCTCGATCACCTGCAAAGGAGGATGAAGCTGACGATGCGAGATAGACAGAGAGCGAGAGACACAGAGAAAAAGAAAGAGAGAGCACGCGAGAGAGAGAGAGAGAGAGAATCCATACTTCCGGTGGTGGCGGACTTCCATCGTTGAATTCCCAATCCAACACATCAATGCCGTGCGTCCTGAGCGGATCGGTCTCATAGCTCGGCTCACACACTCGCACCACGGCACACGCCTTGTGCTTCTCGAGCTCCTGAAAAAAAAATTAGTGCTGCTTTTAGAGGCTAAAATTATCATCATAAGCCTTACGCAATGAAATTTGTGGCGAAAAATTCCATATTAAAGCCTTAACCGTGCCTTTAAATTTTTTCTCTGTGCATTTCGACTACTCTCTATTCAGAAAACATTTGTTTTCCACCCCTAAAATATCAGCTGGGACCCCTTTGGCCAGCTCATTTTTCTCATGTTTCCTCAAGGTGGTATGGCCGCCTCCCAACCACATGGCCACTAGCTTTTTTTCGCTTTTTCAGTGTGGTCACGGGAATTTTGGGAGGGGGGCTGTTTGCCCCGTTCGGAGCTTGACGCGTGCCAAAGCTTTCGTTCGTTCCCTCTTTCGCTCTCTCTCGCTCTCTCTCTCTCTCACCCTCTCCCCTCTCTCTCTCTCACCCTCTCTCCTCTCCCTCCCCCTCTCTCTCCATCCCTCTCTCGCTTCAAAAACATTCCATACGGCTCGTTTTTTGACGCATGGTCCCCCAAATCATCTGATAAATAGAACCGATTCCCCGGATCGTGACTAAAAACAAAAAAAAACGGCTCTGGGAAGTCCCAATGGTCAAAAAAAAACCGTAGGTTTCGCCCGAGGATCCGGACGACCATACGTACGCCAGTAAATGTGTAGTACAAAACATACACACTAACATACATCATAAAGTGCGTGGTAACGTACGTAGTACCGGGTGGACTTCGCGGTATTTGTAGTACCGTACGCACGCGGAGAGGTACTAACGTAAGTAGCGTACGTAACGCACCTAATAACACGCGTGCGTACGCACACAAGTACATACATACTCCGGACTATACCTACGCCTGTACGTAATGGCGTGTACTCGTGTGTGTACACACGTGCTTAGTAGCATACGGAGTTCCCCAAGTACGCACGCAACTTACGTAATAGCATAGATACCCCGTAAAAACTTAACGCTAACGCTACGTCAACCCCCATGTAAAACCCTAAGCAGTAAAGCAGATCGTACCGTACGCACGTATGTACGCAAGGCAATGTTAGCTTACCTCAATATAGGAGTTGATGGTGGCATTCGACGGTCTGTCCGTGATCAGGAACCTCATCTTCCCGAAGTTGATCTCCGACGGCGCGGGGCGGAAATAGGTCGGGGAGCCCGTCTGGGCGCGTTTCGTGGCCGTTCCCATCTGAAAAAAATATTGTATATACTGATATATTTAAACTTGACTTGAAAAAATTCACACTCTGCTAGGGGACCTTGTCGGGATTTTGGAATCAGCTATATTTCAACACCATGCCAGGAAGGGGAAATGTACCGTGGAAATTCGGCGTCCGGGCATTGTAGATTATCGATTTTTATGAGACCTAACAGAAAATTTATGATTTAAATGGTATAACTACTTAATTACCTCAAAATTAAATTATCAAAGCTTTAAACCAGTACATTTTAAAAATATTCTTTGGTGAAAATAACCTTTAAATTTTCTAGACGTTTTCTCACCCAATAACCGCCGTAATCATAATACACAGATGGTTGCGGGTCTTCCTGATGCAAATATGCAAATAGCATTCTAGCGTAGTTGATGGATTTCAAAGGGCAAAAGCTGTGAAAATGCTTGAAGGGAAAAGTCAGGTGAAAAGTTCGGCCCGCCTCCTCTTTATGCTATAAAATTCAGCTTTGCCCGATTATTGCAAGGGAATTTTTTTTGGACACCCGTCTCTCCCTCCCCCTCTTTCTCTCTCTCTCTCTCTCTCTCTCTCTCTCTCTCTCTCTCGCTTTCCTCCAAGAATCCTGTAAACACGGACGACTTTGTAATTCATTCAGCACGCTATCGCAAAACTCTTTTTTTGAGGAGTGGGAGGTCAGTGGAAGCAATAGAAAATATTCTGTGCCTTTTGGAGTCGATGAATTTTCCTAGAGGCCTCCGGGGAACATTTGATGGATTTTTAGAGGGGTTTTGTAGCTATGTGGAAATTGTTGCTAGGGGGATGAAATAAACAAAAATACAAAAAATGTATGAAAGTAGCTTTTTAAAAGATAGCCCGGGAGGAAACCAATTAACATAAGCTAATTTATTCTAACATTTTGCCAAAAATCAGAAAATTCAATAATTTTCGATTTAAGAATATCATAGATTTGGATTTTGAAGTTTTGATTTTTGAACTTTGTTTTTTTAACTAGTGAAGGGATTGATTTTTCATAAAAAATGAATTAACTTTAATCTAGTTTTCTTACCTTCGCGGGTTGGGCGGCGGGAACCGGTTTGACCGTAATCTTCGCGAAATTCACTGGGTAGGGTAGAAAGAATGGAGGGCGCGGAAGATCAGGGCGGCCGCAGGTAGACGCAGTCGCTCTGGGTAGCTTTGGCTGAAACGAATGACGATACAATCAATTATTTTTGTTGATTTTTGAATGACGCGCACAGACGCAGATTCAGAAAAAAACATGTCGACAGCATCCGTCTTTTCAATGCTTTTTCGAGCTATAGAAACTAAAACAACGGCATGTAAAACCACCATTTTCACTCGGCCAAGCGAGGTCAGTTTTTGACCAAAATCGGCCGGGCCATCCAGGGCGCAAAGACGACAAAACGAGTCAAGGCCAACACGCGTGTGGTGCCAAAAAATCGTAAATTTCCCATCCACTCCCCTTGCTTGGAGATCGTTTTCGATGCGGATAGGCGCGAGGGGAATTTCGAGTTCTCGATGAGCCACAGAAATCCTAATTGGCTGCGTTTTCAGGGGACCTGAAAGCGCTAAGTTCTAAGATTTTGCGCCACTAGGTGTAGCCAGTTACGATACGTGCCCAATGACACGTATAAAGCCAATATTTTAGGAATCCGATCTCTTCAGCGGGTTATTTTTGCCTGTAGTCCAGTTGGCAAGACCTAGCGGAAGAAAGGGAGCGATTTTTTTGAGCTTACTAGTCCCTTTAAAGCGGCGTGATTTTTAGCGGGTTTAAGCTTTTTAAGATAATCCTTTATGTTGGAAGTATTGCCAAAAAGGAAACTACAAAATGGACTGACGCCTTTAAAGAGACGGTGTCATAAGACAGTGCCGTGTACGGCACAATCAGTCATTTTTCCGCCTTTTCCCCCCGGAACTTACGATTAATTTTAAGGAACAACATTACTGCTTGCCCAAACCATAAAATATGACGCAAAATTACTTACCTATTTTCGAAGGACTGCTCCCTGCAGGGAAAGAAGAAGCCGGGACCTCTTGAGGGGCGCCACGAGCTTCTTGTAGTCAATGTTGGGCCCGGCAGAACTCGCCGCAACGCGCCACCACAACTTCTCGGCTGAAATACGGTAGATGTAGGAGGATGGGGGTGGAATCTAGTTTTCCCCGAGAATCCGGCTGTTACGAATACCGATTTCCATTTTTGGCCGCCCCCACACGCACGATTTTCGGTGGGTCCAGAATACAAAACATTCGCATGTCTGGGTAGGGTTCCGATCCGATACTATAGACAGAGGGGGGATGATGACTTTCTGCGTCAGGGGGAAGCTCTAGAAGGCGATCAGCCGTTCTTTTTTTTAGAAGGGTGTTATGAGGATTATAACGAAAGAGAGAGCAAGACGGAGAGATAGAGAGACGCAAGAGTGAGAACGAGTCGGAGAGAGAGACAGAGCAAGAGACAGTAAAAGCGAGAGACAGTGAAAGAGTTGAGAAAGTGAGAGACAGAGCTGGAGCAAGAGATCAAGCTTGAGAAAGGACTAGGGCGGGAGCCAGAGTGAGAGAGAGAAACGAGAGAATGAGAGGCGGAGAGAGAGAGACATATCTGGAACTAGATCAAGCTAGAGAGAGCTGGAGAGAGAGAGTGGGTTAGGGGGCTTTTAGCTGTCACCATCCCTTCAAAACCCACTCCCCCGTCCTAATCCCACCCGACCTGGCCCAATATTTCCGCTTCCTTCCGCCCTCAAATCAGCTGCCCAATGTGCGTCAAAGGTGCTCTTGAGTCTCTCGTTTTTCGGGAGTTAATTAACAGGTTACCCCAGATAATCTCACCCCAAAAATCACCAAAAATCCAATAATACAGTCATTGTCTCCGCCGGGAAGCCTTAGAAAAGTGATTTGCCGGGCTCGATCATCAGAACCACAGTTTTTCTGTATATTCGGTGAATATTGGGGTTTGTGGGGGGATTTTGTATCCCTGGAAACGGTGAATAATCCCGGGGATTTACTGGTGAGGGGAGTAAGCTGCCGAAAATCTGGGGCTTTTGACGGTGTTGGGGATGGTCGAAGCCGCCGAATTTTGGGAAAAACAAGGTGAGATTTTTGTAGAAATAAATTGAGATTAAGTAGAATACAACTTATGCTTTCTGAATATTTAGAAAACTTTAAGTTCTTGGAAAAAATCAAAATTCTCGGCGGAGAAAAATCTTAACATGCTATTGAATTAAAAATAGTTAACAATTCAATTCACTTTTTATAGTGGCTATATACTTATTTTAATGGTGAAGTTCTATGGAATCGAAAGAATCATTTTTTCTAGTTTTTTTTTAATTTTTGAGCGTTAAATTTGATTTTTCTTGATTTGGGGGTTTCTTACGAATTATTTTGAATATGATGCTATTTTTGAGGCATCGAAAGTGTTTGGATATTTTTTTTAATGCATGTTAAACGTACGAGGAGATTCTGGTGAATTGGTTGGAGCCAACGCTCATCCCACTGTGTCTCGAGCTGCCAATCTTCGGGCCCACGGCCAATGCAACCTGGTGGAAACGGGTTTCTGAAAAATTGAGGGTTGACAGGTATCCAGGAAACATCGAAAAACTGGTTTCTGAAGACACCGGCATCAAAACGTAAAAAAGCAACGAAAATACGGGCAGAGCTTGAAAATCCAGATCTTCGGATAATGCTGGGGGTTAAAAATATTATTAAAGCTTTGAAATACTCTAGACAAAAATTGTTAAATATTTTAAGTATTAAATTAAGTATTGAATCATACATAGAAAATAATTAATAACACATTTAACATGTAGCTAAAGTTAAGCCGAATTTCCATGAAAAAATAAATTTATAAAAATTACAGGCAACTACAATACTTAGATAACAATTTCATGTGTTTTTCCAAAACCCTGCTGGCCAATTTGCATCGAAATTCGATCAAAAATTGGGGAAATGAAATGAGAAAAACACCTGTTTGGGCCCTGATAGACAGATGCCTTGGATGGAGAGATACCACTTTGCGGAAAGCCAAAACCAGGGGGGGGGGCACAAAATAACCGGTGAGGTAAACAGACCGGGGGATTATTAACCCCTCGGGTCACAAAACACGACTCACAAATGGATACTTATCTCCCCCTCTCACCCCCTTGGGTCTTGGAGGGTAAAAGAGGGCGGGTAAGTCAAACATTAATCGTCCCCCCGGGCAGGCCACGCCCACTTTCCGCACGGGACCTGGACGGGGAGGTCGGGGGAAATTAGAAAAAAGGTTCAGTGAGCAGCAAAATCATGCTACCCAGCACACCGAGATTAACACCAGTTAATGGTATAAGTTACCGTAAATTAAAAATGATTTTATAGAAAATAGATTTCTCATAGATTTATTACACTATACAATCCCAGAATTACATTACGCGATGAAATCACGCTATGAAAGTCTGGACCAGGAAACATTACAAAACTACAAAAACATGTAGTTGAAACAAAACAAACAGCACTGCTTCAAAAACCACGCCATGAAGTTCTATGAATTTCACAAGAGGGTGACAAAAAGTAAAAAATTAATTTTGTACATTTAATTTGCCTGCATTTAAACCGTGAATCTACCTATAATGAAAAACTTTAATTTTTTTTCTGAAAAACGCAGAACCAGAACTTGACTACAAAATACACCTTTAGAAAAACAGAGTTAGCTGAGACATTTAATTACGCCACCAAATTAAGCCCTGGCAATCTCGGAATCGTTGAAAAACCCGAATTTGGTCACAAAATACAACGCCCACACCCCAAAAACTCCTTAAAAAATTCACCGCTGCAAAAAAAAACTGCGGGGCATCATTTCCGGAACAAATCGGCAAGCCGGATTTCCGGTCGAATTGCACGCCCGAAACGTAAAGAGGAAAAAAGGGATCGGTAGACGAGTGGGAGGAAGTAGCCGAAAGGATGCAAGACGCGCCTCCGGGAAGGGGGTCCCGTGGCGGCTCGTTAGCCACACGAAACGGCAAAAAAAGAGACGAGAAAACGAACGGAAAGATTTTTTGGCGTTTGAACCGGGTTTCTTTTGGTGTGTTGTCTGGCCCGGAAATGGCTGTTGTTCCGGGCCACGCCCCCTGAATTTTTTCCTGAATTTTTTAGTATTTTCCTGTAGTGGCTAAATGTTGGGCAATTTTGCGTCGGTTAGATGATGTAATGGAAGTCAAAGGAAAATTACCCAAATATGACGGCATTTAAAGGGCCAGGAAGCGGCAAAATTGACCCTTCCACCCACTAGGTCTCGACAGCTACGCAATACACCTATCAACGTCCATAATTTCCCAGAGTTTTGCATCGGATCCGGCGCCTCTAGCGAAATAACACTATTTTAAAGGGGCAAGGCAAGGGGTATTAGGCCAGGAAAATTCATATTTATGATTTTCCAGCAATTTTAAAACGGTCATTTTGAGCAGTTTGTTGCTGTCGAGAGCTAGTTGATCAAGGGGGCGATTTCGGGCTTTCTATTCCCTTTAAAGGGGTGGTGTCTGCTAGAAAAAGCTCGATTATGTCTGCGAGAGTTCGAGAGAGCGAGAGACAGAAGAGAGAGAGAGAGAGAGAGAGAGAACGGGCGAGCGAGAGAGCAAGGAAGAGAGTGAGTGAGAGTGTGGGAGAGAAAACCAAAACACGAATCCTCCAAACTAGAAAATCTGCTTTCCATAACCCGTTAACCCATACCCGTTAAATACCACCTAGAATCAGGCGCCCAATTAAATTTTAATAGGCGCTAGGAATTAGGGCTATTTTTTTAATCTGATGTTCTCCAGCATTTGGGCTGAATAGCCACAATTTCCATGAATACACCACCGAAAAATAGCCAAAATGAGCCCCAAAAATTGGTGGCCATTGACGTCTGTAGGCGCCGTGCGTAGCCGCCGACAGCAAATTAATGCCATTTGACGGGGGGTGGCGGAACAAAAATGAGGCTTCGAAAAAAGGAGAATACAGATTTGTCATCAGGGGTGATTATCGAAACTATAGACTTCAAGATGGGATTTCGGGTGTTTTGGCCTGTTTTTCAGGATTGAGTGTAGCGTGGGGGTGGACGTCAGCCCATCTGGAAGGGCCGTTCAGAAGGGAGAGAGAGGGAGAGCGAAAGAGAGAGCGAGAGCGAGAGAGCAGTGAGGAAAGGAAAAACACGACCGCCGTATCGAGATGGGATAATTATTCTTCCGGTTAGCTCTCTAGCTACGTTTGCCTCTCAATCTCTCTCCCTCACTCATTCTCTCTCTCTATCTCTATTTCTCTATCTCGCACCCTCTTCTGGTTTTAGAAAATTTCTGGTTAAATCTAGAAAACTTAAGATTGATTGATAATGGTTATTTAGTCAAAGGGTGCTCAGAGATATGCAAATTAAGGCCAGAAACTGTCGAAAAGGTTTAAAAAATTTGAAAAACTTTGGTGTATTGGGCTAGCGTAAATTTTCGAATTAATAGGTTAGGTGCCTATTAAAGCCTCCACCTAAGGATGAAAAATTGTTAAATAGTTATGGGTGTCAAATAAAAATAAATGTAAACTACAACCTCCAAATCTGCCAAAAGACGACGGTAAACAAAGGCGGCGGAAATGAGGCTGGCGACCCCGAAATTCCCAGCCAGGCGCCGTCCACCGGAATGTCATCCCATTTCCGGGCCGCCGAATCGAGGCATTATCTTTTTTCCATAGAATTGGGCGATACCATCAGAAGAGGAGGAGGCGGTTCCGAAAAAGCGGGGAATGCCGCGATAAGAAAAGCGGCGAGGCGCCCGAGCGAAATATTTGAAAATGAGGCGGCCGTTTTGCTTTTCAAGTGAAGAAAGGAAGAAAGGAAGAGAGAGAGAGACAGAGAGAGACAGAGAGAGGCAGAATATTTACATTTCGCCCCCGCTCTCTGCAAGCAAAAGCCTTGGAAAAAATAAGGCGCAGAAAGTGAGGCTGGGGGGGGGGGGTTTAGCAGAAATATTTGGAGAAAATAGGATTTATTGGATGAGTAATTGGCTGCTGATTAGCTTATAAACTATTTGCTCCGGCCGATACCGTCTGATTGTTTTGTATGCGTCATTGGCGCCGAGAGGAAATTTTGTGAAACATTTTTGTGACCCCTGGGAGGAAAATCGATTGAAAAATAGTAAAAAAATAGCTGCATTTACATTTGAGCCGGGAAAACGAGAGAAAAACGAAAAAACGAGGTTTTTGTGATGTGATGTAACCGGAGAATTTTTCTACGATGTAAACTAGGTAAAAATATTAATTTAGGGGTGGTAAACGGCAGTGAATTTAACAAATATATTGACAGTACGCCAGTTTTCAAACAAAACATATCAATTTTTATAAATCCGGTTAATTTTTCAAAACACATTTTAAAGCGCAATTTTTATAAAAATTCACCCAAATTATCGTATTTTGCGTAATTTCAAACCTAAAATGAGGGGAAAACTTGAGAATTCAACGGTTAGCATAGAAATCTTGGTTTCAGGTTTAGACGCAAAATAATCTCTAGTTGCAATTTATGTTGTCTTAAAAGCATACGGCGTGATTTAAAAATTATACGCTCAAAAATCGGCCCCAAAAGCTCTGGACCGTTCAACAAAGTTAATCCCACTGTTTTCTATTTTGTGACTTTCGCGGATTACTTCATATTGGCCTCGAGGGTTTTCCAGATTCTCGGAAAACACGGAAAGTGGTCGGGGTTATGAATGAAGGAAGAGGAGAGGAAGAGGAGAGCGGAAATGAGGGCCAAAAGGAAGAGACCACGAAGATACATTGACTGACTCAATTAGTCCCAAGGGACTTCCTACTCTTCTTATTCTTCCTTTTTTGGGTAATCCGGACAGACGACCCGGAAGCCAAAAAGAAAAGATAATAAATGTATTCTGCACACAAATATGGTCAGATCAGAATTTCTATAAATTGTTTTTTTTCCGAATTTTGCATGAAAAGTTGGAGCTCAAAGAAAAAGCCCCCAAATTTCTTAAGTTTTAAAGCCTCTCAACGTGCCAGAATGCAAATTTATGGGTTCGTAACTAATCGGAATTTTTTGGAAAGTTGCGGAATTTTTAAACAAATAAATTTTAGACATGAAGATTTCAAGAGAAAATCTAAATTTTAAATTTTAAAAATTTTTGCATACATTTCAAAACACTGAAAAATCTAATTCCCATCTTTCCAAATGACCACGCTACGCTCTGTGCCTCGAAAACACCAAAAACTCGATTAGCCATATTCGGGAACATTTTTTGTTTTAAGAATTAATGTGGCTTTCGAAATTGCCATTTTTAAAAATTAAATTCCACTTTTCCCACCAAATTACTCAACGCTCCTTTTTGCATATTTTCGACACCCCGAAGAAAGAGCCCATGTTTTTCAAAAACCCCTCCGAAAAGGGCGTCCAGTGTGTGCAGGTGTGTGCGTAGTGCCTGCGAAAATTGGGAAATGGAAAATATTTGGGTGTGGACCGGGAAGTAAGAAAAGGGGAAGACGCCTCAAGTGGAAAGTACAAATAACGCCACGTGGCTGTCGAGATAGATAGATGCTTTTAGCGAATTTTAGAGTAAGAGAAAGGCGCAAGAATGGTAGCAGACTATAAATTGATGCTAGTCACCATAGCATAATTCCAAAATTTCCTCCAGATAGCCGGCATTCGGCATGTTAAGAGCGTTACTAAAACGTATGGAGCCGCATCATAAAAACCGTAAAAACTGTAAAAGAAATGTATCGTAAAAAGGCAGCCTTACTTAAATGAAGCTACGAGTCCAGTTAACTCAAAGCCAGGCGTTACTTCAGAATTCCAGCAATTCCCCCAGAATACAAACGACACCGAGCCCCGAGGAGCAGCCCGGATCGAATAATCGGCTGGGCGAGACTAGAGGGGCCACGGGGGGTGTGTGTGTGGAATGGGAGAGGGCCCATGGAAAGGGCCCGGGCGGTTGCCAGACACACGAATTCTAGTCGGGACCCGGCTCTAGGGAGGGAGAGAATACGAAAAAAAGAGAGGGAACAGAGAACGAGACAGAGACTGCGGATTTGTGGAGAGAGCAGAGAAGCGGGGAAAAGCCTTGGCCGGAAAAGACCCGCTTTTCCTGGCCTTGGCCCTTAGTCATCGTCTGTCTGCCTGTCTGCTCGGTTTTTGTGGACTAGAAATTGTGAATTTTCATTTTAAAGGGCCTCGTAAGGCAGAGCTGGGCTCTCGATATTGTATAAAATTCCGACTCGCGAAAAAATTTAACTCGTATCCTGGATCTACACAATATTTCTGCACGTTTTATGCGCTTAACGCAATTTAAACGGACTAGAAAAGCAATCCGGATCTTAGGAATTTTTATGAAATTTCAAATTTTTGACAAGAACTTCCAGGAATTACGGGATATTTCTGCTTGTTTTAGACACCTAATGGCAAAAATAATTAGAGAAAAATATACATTTCAGAGAGACTGGCAAGGTAGATGAGACGGCGCTTTTTAAGGAACTGCACAAAATTAATAGAAAGAGGATTTTTTGCAGGCAGTTACTGTAAGTCTGTTCGTTTTAGACGTTTAACGGAGTCAAAATTGGCATTTAAAAGGGATTGGCAAGGCAGAATAGCTAACTTCTTCGCACATAATCGATACATTTTTACAAGGATTGAAATATTTTTTTTGTATGGAGGAGGCAATAGCTTTTAAATGTCGTAATGAAATGGAATAACTGGCGAATACGCCTTTCTATCGATAATCGAATCGATAAAGCGAGGAACAGCCGTGCGGGGCCCTGTCTTGTGTCCGGTTCCCACCAGCCACCTCTTGCCTGTTCTCCGCCCAGCGGCGGATTCTTTTTCACGTTTCGCTAGGGGTCGTTAGACAGGAAGAAGGATGGACAGACTGACAGACAGAGAGACAGACCGAATGACAGGAAGAATCTTGGCAAATTCCCAAGATGGTTTAGCTCGCAGTTTCCAGCTTATGGTTTTTATAGATTGTGAAAACCGTAATGACACTTGCCTTTATCCAGTAATCTGTAGCAGACCAAGATAAGATTTATAGATTTTGTAAGGAATCATACTAATTTATTAGAAACCGCCTGTTTCCTAAGATTCATGACTGGCACATTTTTAAACACTCAATCAAACGAAACTTGTCTTTTAAAGGGATTGGAAATATAGAATCACCACGTTTTTTAAAGAAATAAGCATCACATAAAACCAAACCTCTATTTTGCAAAGAATTATGCATTCGAGGAAATTACAGGGCTGCCCACCCGCCCTTGCGGAGTCGTTGTGAATTCAGAATTGTGGTTGGATAAGGGCATCTGGTTGCCAGGTACCGCCCCGAGGAAGCACGCAAAGGGCAACGAAATTGGGGGCCCGGGGATTTTTTGTTTTCGCCAAAAAATATAGCAGAAAGTATACGTGAAAGCGTGCATAAAATCCATGTAACATCGAAAAATCATAAAAATCAACCGGAAAATACAATTACGGACTTCCAAACGCGCTAATTAAAAATGATGCATTTGCTAGCTGTTTATTTGAGCTTCCCAAGATTAAAATTAAAGCTGTCAATATTAAATCACTTTTAAAAACAAAACAGCAGTATTAATAAAGCAATATCAAATCGTTTTTTGAGAAATCAAGTTTTTTTGGAGCCCATACACTCCCATATCTTTATACGAGATTTTAGACAAGCCTTTGTAATTTTTAATATGGCTTCCTAACTTTGTAAAAATCACGGTAAGAAAGAGGTCGAAAAGCCCGAGCAATTCGATTTTTTTAAAAGGTGGAGTGTGAATCGCAAAATATTACTGAAAAATGAGAAAATGTTCCTAGGCCTCCAGAAAACCCAAACAAACGAATCGGCCTTACGCAAAACGCTGATAATAACATGACGTAATCGGTTGAGGTGGGGGCCCAATCATGATGGGGGAGGAGAAGCGCATGAAATCCCAGACAACTAGCTGCACTCCCCCCATCTGGGCGCGCTGTTGTTTTGGGAGTTCTCCGAGGGCAAGTTGTGTATGTTTTTGTGGCTATAAAAGGGGGATGGCGCCAAAGGACCCATCCCAAAAGACTGGGGCCACAAGTTACAAAGGGCATTCTCTCTATCGCGCTCTCTCTCGCTTTCTAGATAAAAAAGCGGCTCAAAAGGATCACCATTCTGACGGGTTGACGAGGGCGAGGAGGGGGAGCAGAATACTAAAAAGAGCACTGGGGTGGAATGTGGGGGTGGACGTCTGAAAGGGACAAAAGTTGTTGGTTTTTAAAGCATGATGCAAAGAAGGAAATCTCCGAGAAAAATGAAAATCTGTGGAAAAAGATAATCAGTCAACGAGAGCGAACGGGCGAGGGAACATTATCATGAGAATCAGTGATTATGCGAGGAATTTACTGCAAACTTCAGAGAGTGACACAGAGAAAGAGGTAGAGAGATAGAGAGAGAGAGAGAGAGAGAGAGAGAGAGAGCCAAAGATCAGCTAGAGTGCGATAGAGAGAGCGAGAGGCGAAAGTCGTATTTTCGAAAATAGGCAGTTCGAACAATATTCAACACATTTCTACCTTTGTTGGCTTTTCCTGATTATAGCGGAATGTAACTTTTTCGAAGATATGTTTTTCGAAAAAAGAGCTTTTGAGACGGATTTTCGAAATACGGTTTTTAGGAAATGCGTATAAAAATTGGAATCTTTGATTTTTATGAAACCCGTTTCAATCCAATAAAAACAACCTAAAAATCCCATATTTATCGCACTGAAAAACCCCCATTAAATCCCCCACAAATTCAGAATTATAAAACCTCACCGCCGTAAACCAGCGGCCGCTCCTATAAAAAGCCCATTTTCCGCACGACGGCCCGTTAGAATTCGTGGGGCCGTTGTTTTGACGACAAGCCCATGGTTCGAGCCCGAAGAAAGGCGGTGAAAAACAGAATTTAGGCCCGGGGAAAATGCGGAAAAAACGGGCTTCTTCTTGGTTGACCCGATGTTGGGATGCAGACGTCAGTTTTCGAATTGCTGATAGCGGGTACACGGCAGTTTTTCGAGTCTAGGCTTTGATAGGGGAATGGGTTCACCTGAAAGAAACGGGGATTTTTGGGGGAATTGGTTACGTCATATAATTTCTAAAAAAGCAATCTCTTATTACTGATAGGAAGAAATCCATTACCACAGTAGTTTTTGAGTTTTTACGCAGCTATTTTTAACTCTCTTTTGGAATTAACATAGATTTTCCTCGATTTTGTGATAGAAATACCATTCGGCTTCATTTGGCGTCAAAAAAATTACTCGAATAAGCGATTTTTTGAAAAATTTACGCGGTGTTTCACCCTGACAAGAAATTTGGAGGTTTATTCATACGAAAAGTCTGTAGAGATTACCTTGTGAAAAAATCCTGAAGTGACATTTCCATAAGCATTATAAATGCGTATGACAATGAAAGCCCTTAGAAGTTGTAAAAAGGCGCAAAATGCACGGTCAAGTGACGCCGACGGGGGGATTCAGGACATTGATAACCCGCCGACTCCGGACCTTTGCATGCTGTGTGCTCCCCCAGTCCAGCCATATATACCCACCGATTTTTGGAGGGCCAGACGGGGCGCGTTTCAGTTGCGATGAGTCACAAAGATTTCTCAAAATGCTGTTGTTCCCCCTCCCCTGCCATATATCTATTGCACAATGTTACAAAATGGCTTCTGGACATCGCCCCCGAAACGCATTCCAGCTGGCCCACAGAATTTTCGGGGGTTTATAAGGAAGAAGAGGGAGGGGCCATTGTGCATTGGTCCGAAGTCGGCGGGTTATCAAATACTTGACTACCCCCCGTCGACGATCACTTGACCGTGCTTTTTGCATATTTTTGTGGGCCCTGGCCAGAGACTCTTTGCCAACGGTAGAAGTGCAGGATTTTCAGGATTTACGGTAGCAGGACGGTATCTATAGTAAGTTCTTGGAAAGAAGGCTATATTTAGTTTCACTGCGGATTTAAATCCACGGCGTTTCGACCGCTACGGTGAAGATGGCCACTTTATGCGACGTCCGCAGGTAAACTGCGGTTCCCTGTCCAAAAATTATAAGGTCTTTTAAGAAAACGTCGTATATGGTATGAATAATAAACAATTTTTAAAAATAAAGCGCCTATTTTCTCGCCGTTTCAAGAACTTACCAATGACATTAGAATCGTCCCGAACCGAGGGGTTTTCCGTACCGATAGATGCGTAGTGTTTTGGAAAAGCTTATATTTGAGGAAATATTCTGTTAAATACTGTATGTTCAACGCCACGCGCTATTTTTAGCGCTACAGTGGACTCGCGGATTTGTTGATCCAAATCTTTGTCCCCTTGTTTCGCGCGCGCCTGTTTCCCAAACCTAAAAATGGGAAGGTCAGCCGATCCCTTTCCTCGATGCTTTCTCTCTCTTTCTCTCGCTCTCTCTTGCTCTCTCTCTCCTTGCAAAAATCTCCACCCACCTATCCTGTTGACGATATTGGTGCCAAGAAATTCCCCGTTCATTCGACTCCCAAGGTATTGTAGTCAGTGTTGAAATCCTCTTTTCCTTCCTACGCCACGTGACGATGGTTGTCCCCTTCTTTAATGCTTGGGCGGTGCCGAAGGCTCAAAGTAGGTTAAAATATTTATAAAATTTTCGTAAGCAAAAAAAAGAATTTCAAAGTGTCCCCATGGGGGTAATTTTTTGATTTTTTCCTTTCAATTATGGAATTAACCTTATAACTAAAAAGTCAGACGTAATTTGCACAGAAAAAGCGCATAAACCCTTTAATCACATGAAAAAATCGAAAAATTTCTAACCGAAAAAACATCAATTTTCAGCCTGCCCTCATTGCGCAAAAGAGCTGCCCGCTCAAGAAAATGCGATAAATGGATGGCTGGCTACGGTAGGGTTTTATTGCAAAAATAGAATTTTATTAAATTTAGAGCCAGCGGCCGTATTCCAACCGTCAATGGGCGTGTTCGTATTTTGGGTTCATGATTCTTGTTGCGAGCTTTTGGATGTTCTACGCACTCGTCATCCTTGCCGCTTTTTCACCGCCCGGCGCTACCGTATACTCCAATGGTAATAAATTGATTTTGGAGAATTTATACAAAAACAAGGGTTAAAAATTCCGAATTCCAGCATTCTAAAATTTCAAAAAAAATTTAAAAACTGAATTTTTAGGTTGAATAGAAATTTTGGAAAATAAATGAAGGCAATTTTATCCAGCTTGGTAGTTTCTGAAGGTTTAAAACTACAAAACATGACTCCTTTAAATTTGCTGTTAAAAACTAGTGTAAAACTCGCCATTAAATAGGTTAAAATAAATTTTTAGCTTGGATAAATATTAATTATGGGAAACAATGACATCATAAAAATGCAAATATCCTACAAAATGAGCTATTTTTATCAAATTTTTAGGCACCCTCGAAGACCAGGCAAAAGCCCTCCGCGCCGGCCCGGCCGTTTTTCTCTCCATGCTAATTCCTGTCCTCCCGGCTACCGTATCCTGCCTTGTACTTTGCTGCGGGACCCGAAAAATAGCCCTGAAAATCTTTATCACTCTCCAAATCCTCGTCATTCTCATCGTCCCCGGCTTCATGGTTTCCCAGCTAAAAGAAGACATCCTCCCGTATAAGGCCGATTTTTGCGAGCGTACAGTCGCGGAATTGGGGCGCGGCAGCGCGGTGGTACTTAAGCATTTTGAGGGTTTATTCAGGAATATAACCAATTCGGCGCATTACATCGAGGAATGCTCGAATGAGAATTTTTTGGCGAATTCGGTGAATGGCTCCCTGATTTTCCACAGTAAAAAAGAACATCATAAGTTGCTGGATTATTGCTTGTGGGCTACAGAAACTAAACCACAATTTTCGGATGAGATTGTGCTGTAATGCGGTGTGCTTTGTCTTGTAATAATTGGGCATTTTTTGCGACAATTTTGTATTTATTTTGATGTACATAAAGTTAACGTTTATTACATTTCAGGACTTAAAAAGCCAAAAAGAAAAAAGTTGAAAAGAGAAGGAAAGATTTTATTTATTTATAGCCGACCTCAAAAACAATTTCAAAAGCTACTAAACCGAACAAGCCCTGATTTGGCAAGGCTATCATTTTCTAATAAATTTCAAAGCACGAACACGACCCAAAAATGGCTAACAAGTCACATCCTAAAACCAGTTTTTTGAAATTTTCGGCCTGAGAGGGATCATTAAAACTTGGTTATGCGAAAAACTTCGATTTTTCTATCGTAGTTTTTTGCATGCATAGCATCCAGAGACCGAGACAAGTCGATTGGAAAAATATGAATAAAATGGAAATCCGGCCAACACCAAGACTTTATTAAAATCAAACCCTTTGGCGGCAAATAATTTTCTTTTCTTGGGACATTGATCCAAAAATTTGCAACCATCATGTCCATTTTCCTTTTTCAACACTACTACTATATTGGTCATGTTTTGAAGGAAACAACACCTTAGAATCAGTTAATGCCAAAACAAACGCTAGGGTCAAAATTGTGTGCCAAAGAACGGCACCCAATGCTAGAGTGCAGAGTGAGAGGAGGGCAGTGCCCCTAGTCGCCCAGTAGCGTAAGGAAAGGCACCACAGGCTTGGGGGGGGGGAACAAATAAGATTGAACTGGTGCCAGTTCCGGATTGGCACGCGCAGATTTTATGCGATCCCCAGCCAATTTACGAAAATTCATTTTACCGAAAGTCGTTCTACCGAAAAGACGCTTTACAAAACCCTCCCGAAAACCCCTATTCCAATCTCCTTCCTCACATATCGGAATCGTTCAACCCAACGAATACTGTCGGAGGATAATTTAATCGGCGCATGCAGTCACTTTCGTCGATTTACAGAGATTTGTACCTTAATTCGATTTCTGTTCAATTATCGAGTTTTCGGTAAAATGACACGCCGCTTCTTATCCCTCTTATCCATTGCGGCTTGCCCAGCCAGGCGGACGACCCGGGTTTGATTCCGTGTTATCAAAAGTGGCCGGATTTCCATTTTATTCATATTTTTCCAATCGACTTGTCTCGGTCTCTGGATGCTATGCATGCAAAAAACTACGATAGAAAAATCGAAGTTTTTCGCATAACCAAGTTTTAATGATCCCTCTCAGGCCGAAAATTTCAAAAAACTGGTTTTAGGATGTGACTTGTTAGCCATTTTTGGGTCGTGTTCGTGCTTTGAAATTTATTAGAAAATGATAGCCTTGCCAAATCAGGGCTTGTTCGGTTTAGTAGCTTTTGAAATTGTTTTTGAGGTCGGCTATAAATAAATAAAATCTTTCCTTCTCTTTTCAACTTTTTTCTTTTTGGCTTTTTAAGTCCTGAAATGTAATAAACGTTAACTTTATGTACATCAAAATAAATACAAAATTGTCGCAAAAAATGCCCAATTATTACAAGACAAAGCACACCGCATTACAGCACAATCTCATCCGAAAATTGTGGTTTAGTTTCTGTAGCCCACAAGCAATAATCCAGCAACTTATGATGTTCTTTTTTACTGTGTAAATATTTGTTGGTTCTCTCACTTCCTCTCTCTCTCTCTCTCTCTCTCTCTCTCTCTCTCTCTCTCTCTCTCTCTTTCGCTTTCTCTCTCATTCTCTCGCTCCCCCGCTCTTTCATTCCACTCCCACAGTCTTTTAGGGTGATTCCGCCCCTACACCACGAAACGATGGTCGCCATATTTAAGCCCAGGAAAGCCCATCATCCGCGGCCTCAGTTTCGAGCACTTGGTGAATTCTGCTACCATGAAATTGAAAACATTTAACATTTTTACACGCTCGACTTGACGCTCGACTTGCTCGACGGCCGCAGCGAAGGCTACCAGAATCCATTTTATTGCTTCTTGATACTGATAAACCGAGCGAAAAAGAAGCCATTCTTCTAGTTCGCGATCAAGATAAGGTAAACTTTCTGTTTTTCTTATTATACTAACCTAACCTCTTAAATTACTTGTTCATACATGATGTCTTTCTTAGATTAAAATTTTATTGCAGAGTCAAGATCCGCCGGATTGCGGCCCCGGGGATGCGTTCGGGCTGGCGATTTTCCAAACCATCGGTGCCCTCGTCGTTGCTGCCTTCTTGTCCTCCAAACTTGCACCCCCAGAGGCCACTGTATACTCAACAGGTATCGCTCTCTCTCTCTCTCTCTCTCTCTCTCTCTCTCTCTCTCTCTCTCGCTCTGTGTCACATTCACAAGATCGTTTTGAAGCCGAAAAGGACCAAAAGGCATTGCAAAATTAGCATAAAGCGGAAAATACAATTTAGCGCCAAAAATCTCAGTTATGAAGGGATCAGGACAGCATCTTTTGAATCTCCCTTGGGAGGGGGAGCTTAAATTTTTGGCAAGTAGCCAGCAGGGGAGAGAGCGCGCCCAGGGAAGAAGCGCAGAAACATTTTCTGTCTCGCGCGTAATCGATTGACTTATGCCGTCCTTGTCCCTTTAAAGGGATGCCGACGGCATGATCAATCGGTTACGCGCTGGAAAAAAATGTCTCTGCGCATCTCCCGAGGGCGCGCTCTCTGCCATGTTGGCTACTCGCTAATTTGTTGATCACGTCTTTACAAGGGGTCGTTCAGCAAAAATGTTACAGTTACAATAACGTTACATTGCTATTTGCGACACGGGCCAAAAACACTTCACTTGTAAGCCATTTTCCCTTCATTTCAGCGACAATCGAGGACCAGGCGCAAGGACTACGCTCAAAATGGGTCCCTTTCCTGTTGGTGCCAATCCTTACCGTTCCGCTCTACGCCTCCTGTTTGATCGGCCTCTTCGCGACCAGAAAAAGAACTGCACAGATAACTTTCCTCCTGATTCTCCCCCTCATCCTCATCGTATCCGGCTTGATCATTGCCCAGCTGAACAGAGATCTCCAGCCGTATAAGGCCGAGTATTGCCAGGGCGCGGTCGCAGAATTGGGGAAGCAAAGCGCGCGGGTGGTCTGGCTCCTTGAGAGTTTATTTCGAAATACAACAAATGCAGAGCATTACCTCCAGGAATGTCTCAGCGAGAATTTCTTGGCAAATTTTGAGAATGGGACACTGATTTTCCGGAATAAAACGGAACACCGCAATCTGTTGCACTATTGCGCGAGGGCTGCGGAAACGACCCCGCAATTTTTGGATGATCTCTTGCTGTAATTTGGTATCTATTGGATTTTTTGTCGCTCGTCTTACCTCAGGGATTTTTGTATTTATTATTATTCAAATAAATTGTTTGACGCATTTTTGTGACCTTTTTCCGAATTAAAACAATGACATACAACGGCGAACTAAATATCGTATAAAGTTAGACGATATAACGTTCCGATTTTTACCGTTTGATGCCAGTACAGGCCTCCCTAATTCTGACGATACTTATCTGTTAGCAGGGGGGGGGGTGGGATTTATAGCAGGCGGAAACAAATTTTTGCCAGTAATCCTGTACGGACCCGTACCCAGATATAAATCGATTCCTAAAATATAACACGCAAAATTTTCAAAATCTTCGACAAAATTTGACTTTTTGTTCAAAAATATATGAAAAAATCACAAAATTTTCGAATTTTCGAGCCATTTTAAATGTTTTTAACTTTGTTGATTGCTAACCAGTAGTTATTAGCTGAATAACAAAAATTATTTTCCGACCTGCTAACTGCCCAGTGCCATTTCCAATGCCGTAGATTGGTAATTCTCCGTTTTACCGGAGTAAGAGTGGTAGTGTTACAAGAATTATATATTTGTAAATACAACACAGAAACGAGCAAAGTTAATTAATTATCATTGGTTTATTCCATTGAGCGGAGGATACCCTAGCCCCTAGGGCACCTCCCTTCTCCTTTCTCTGCACTCTAGCCTGGGGTGCCGTTCCCTGCCGCACCATTTCTCCTCTGGCATATTTGCTCGGATGAGTCATAAATCTTCTAAAGCGCTATTTTGCTTTAAAGGGATGCCCAACCTTTTCGGGGCTCAAAAAGCAAAAACCATGCCGCGGGCGGGGGTCGAACCCGAGACCACCGTTTCGTAGGCCTGGACGCTATCCATTAGGCCATAGTGGCAAGCCATTGGGAGGGAGAGGGACGCCACAAGAGGGAAAGGTGTCCGAATTCTGTGCGGCAATGAGCGCCCATTGGCGCACCAAAAGCGCGCGTCATTTGTACTTGCCGGAATACATAACTATATATTTGCCGCCAAAACCTTGGATATCCCTTTAAATAATAAGTAATGATATTTTTATTGAACACAGTTGAGTTTGAAAGCCCTCGTGTGGATTTTTTTGAACGTCGGTTCGAAAACATAATCTAATTTTTGCTACCAAGTGATTTGATTCGAAACATCATTCACTGGAGCTCTCTCCTTGCCATCTCTCTCTCGCCCTCCTTATCTCTCTCTCTATCTCTCTCGCTCTTTCTCTCGCTCTCTCTCCCTCTCTATTTCTCTCTCACTCTCTCTGGCTCTCGCTCTCTCTCCCTCTCCCTCTCTCTCTATCTCTCTCCCTCTCTCTCTTTCTCGGTCTCCTCGTTGCTCCGTGTCTCTCTTCTCATTTCCGAAAAGCCGATCACGAGGTTCATTTTACACTTTCAGTATCTCCCCATTATTCCGTCCTACACCACGTGAAAATGGTCGCCCTATTCAAGCCACGTAAAGAGCCTACGCGTGAGTTTAAGTCACTTTTTAAATTATCATAACCGGAAAATCCGAAAGCTCCGATTGTTTTAGCAACCCCTGGACGCCCGGCGCAATTCCCTCCAGAACCGAATCCCATATTTTACAATCCGGGCAGGATAAATGTCACAATTCCCCCGATTTTAAGCGTTCCGGTAAAACCATATTTTATTTTTGTTGTCTAGTTTTGTTTTAGAAACCAGAGCCGCCGGATCCTGAACTCGCCAAAGCTGTATTATTTCACACGGTCGCCGTCACCTTCTTCTGGGCGGTATCTGGGTTCCTGACGCTTTACCTTACCTCACCGCCCCGGGCAACCGAATACTCAACAGGTACCACAGTGATTTCCGACAGTCTCTAGATAAAAACTGCTAACGCAAAGGGATGAAGGCACGCCTTTTTTCATTCCGACCATTGATTTTGAAAGTTCGTATGTCAATCACGTATCCAGGGCGAAGTCCTTAAAAGAATGGTAGTTAATTTTAATGCATTTGTATTTTATTATTTTATTTTAATACAGGGTGCAGGGCCGTAGCGATCCCCGATTTTGGGGGGGACTCCAAAAAAAATTTTGGTGACGTACAACAACTCCCAAAATCAGCGCCGCAGGCGAACATTTTTGAAAAAATTAGGTTCATGACAGTAAAAACAATCTTAAAAACAGCCACAAAACGCGCCGCAGGCAAAAAATAACGCGAGAAAACGCAAAAATAACGGAAAACACTGAATTTTTGGCTAAGCTCAAGCTCATTGGATCCAAAAATGCCATAAAACCCAACGCGTTTGCTAGTAAAGCGTGAGCGTTTTTCAACAATTTAACGTTACAAAACAAAAAGCGCTCATGCCTTGCCAAGGACAAGTTCAATGGCTTCTCCATCCATTTCGCCACCCCCATTGACGTGGGCCCTGGGTCTGATGGTGCAATGGCTGCTTATTTCCCTAAAAATGCTTTATCGCGTTTTCTCGCGTATCCGGTCACCTAAAGCTTTCTAAGCTAGCACGTACGTTATATAGAGCTTGGCCTTTCGCACCACCCCTGAAAATTTCAGCTCGTTCGGAAAAAAGGGGGCCAAATGCCGAGGGGGAGGGGGGTTTATGAGACACCCTGTAGTTAATTGGGAGTGAATATGTCAGGTTGTGAATTAAACAATTTTAAAAAATTTCATACATTTTCAGGGACACTCGATGACCAGGCCAGAAACCTCCGCGCCCTACCGGCCATGTGCCTCTCACTGCTTATTCCGTTCCTTCCGGGTGCCGTAGCCGGCTACGTCCTCTTTGATAAGCCCCGTAACACGGCCCTCAAAACTTTTCTCGTCCTCCAAATCCTCGTCATCCTCATCGTCCCCTCCCTCATCGTCGTCCAGCTCCAGCGCGATATTCTGCCGTACAAGGCCGATTTTTGCGAGGACACAATGGAGAAATCGGGGCGCGGCAGCGGGTTGTTAGTTGAGCATTTCACGAATTTGGTCAAAAATGTGACCAACTCGGCGCATTACCTTGAAGAATGCTCGAATGAGAAGATCGTATCGAATTTTGTGAATGGATCCCTGATTTTCCGAAATCCAACCGAACACCGACTGCTCATGGATTACTGCTCCTGGGCGACTGAAGGGCAACCCTATTTTCTGAGTAATATCGGTAGCAATTTGGCGTTTTTCGCACCGTTCTGCATCACTTGCGTCTTTCTGTATTTATTCTGATGTACATAAATAGTTTATGCTTATTCACGCCAGTTTTATAAAAAAAATTCACCCAGTACAATCAAAGTGAGGAATTAGTGAGAAAGACACAGAGCATTTAAAACAGGGCAGGATAAAAACAAAGGTACCAGGTTGGAACGAAACTTGTCGCCGCGATTTTAGGAGGCTGGCTAAATTCGTAGATAGCTCCATTCTGGACATTTGAGACGTCATTTAGTAGCCCTCGATGAATCGTTTCGGTAGGAGGGTCCTGACCGCCAAAATCAAGGAGAGCTGAGATACAGGCTCTAGAAGGTTTTCACAAAATTACCAAAAAGCGTTTTTACAAGTTATCTCCACATAGAGCAATTTGCATGCGATACCTTTAACGCCAATCGATAGCTCTCGGGGAGTAGATAACGATAGATGATGAAACTTTGACATCGGATGGCCGAGATATAAGCTCCTGAAACTTTTCCCGGTCTCCCATACATTTCGATGCATTTCATAGGCAGGGGCCGAAAATTGCCGCTTTATTTTTTAACTCGCGGGGGAACTCTTGACAAAATGCTCGATTTTCGCTATTTTTTTGTCCAAAACTCTATTTAGTCGGTTTACGCGCTATCCATGCTCTGTTTTCGCAAACGGTTTTTAAAAAATCTGTCGTTAGGCTACAAGGTAATGCGTAGAAATCATTAAATTGTGATTTTTGTAAAAAACTCCTTGTCGAGAAAAACATCAGAAAATACGCCCTTTTCGCAAAAGTATTAGTTAATGCCAGAAAAATTTTAAAATTTGAGAATCTGTGTGACGTGCTGGTCGCGCGTTTCCGAGTGCTTTCGATGCATACCTCAATCGTAAAATTCGGACCCGTCTGCGGCCGGCTAGGAGGGGGTGATTTTGTGAAATACCCTGTATCATTACAACTCCAGTACGGTAGCCGCATTCTCAACGTCGATTGATGTGAGACGGACCCGGTCAGACCTAGTCGAAGGATACCATTTGTACACCGTAGTCAGAGAAAGCGTATCCGGGCCATCGTCGTCGTCTTCATCGTCATCCTCTTCCGCATCTTCCGACTGCCTTAATTCACACCGATTTGAGGCTAGTACAAAAAGGTTCAATCGAAGCTTTGGGAAAGGGTCTATCAAAAATACGAAAAGATTGTAGAAAGTCGTTCAAAAGTAGAAAAAATCGACAAAAACCTGGATCCAAACTGCAGTTTTCTAACAAAGGTCACCTACGTTTTGCCGAGTAGATGAAAAATCCCGTTGTGGTGATTGTTGGCCAATATCAGCGTCCCCTCACGGCTCTCCACCCCGAACTCGCACGTTTTCAGCACCACCTAGGCTTTATGGTGAATTTGGTTAGCTTTTCAGTGTAATGTAATCTGGTTGTATACTGTCATGTAATGTAAAGAAGGCCTTTTCATGCAATTCAAAATTCAGATACGTCACCTTTTCATTCTTTTTCACTTTCGCGACGGTCCGGCCATGGATGTGTAGGGCTTGAACGCGGCCCGGCAAAAAGCCACGACGACCAATTCGTTGCCTAAAGCCAGCTGGTTTTGAGGATCTCAAAAATTTTTGCTGGATTAGAGCAACTGATTTAGAACTCTCTAAATTCCAAAAAAGATAAAATTTACCTAAATTCCTTAGTCGTACGATGAAGCGTGATCAGCTCCTCGGGCTCAAGTCGGTCCAGTACGGCCGTAATTAATTCCTGAGGCAATTTCAGCATCTGGGATCGACGGTCCTTCAAAGCATTGTAATAATAAACCAGCACAACATGAAAACAGACATACAAAAATTGGTTCTTTTGGGGTGAAGGCTAAATGGGAGGAAACGAACTTTTTTTTGAGTCAGAAATTCTTAGTAACGAAATCAAAAATAAAGGTAAAAAAGTAAATACTTTAGTATTTTAGTATTTGAGTAGGTATTTGAATAAAATTTATTTATATTTTAAGTGGAAAATAATGAAAAAAGTTGGAACATTTTTTAGGTGAAATCTTGGTCGCAAAACCGGCAATTTTTGGTGGAAAAATATATTTTTTGTAACCTGTCTCCTACAATTTACAAAGTTTTTGCGTTTAGGAATAGCAAAAACTAGTTTAGAAACACTGCCTCTATTTATATTAGAAAAATTGGATACTTACAATAAAAGTTGGTCCCACCCCCCCCCCCGCCCCCGATAATGTGAAAGCTCCTAAAAATTTAGAACTTAGCGATGGTGAGAGCAAGATACCCGAGAACAGAATTAAAATATCGAAAAAGTGGACGTGAAGTTTGTTGAAAATTTGACTCGACCCACCCGAAAGCCCTTCGCCGTAGATCGCCAGATTTGCAGGCGTCGCGGCCCTCTCGAAACCGCCCTAAATCAGATCGGGACAATAGATTGGCCCCCGACACCCTCCGATGGACACCGCCAAACCCATTGAGGTCAGCCGTTTGACAAATTGGTGTGACCTGGAAAATGCAACGGGCCGAAAGGGCATACGCGGCAATAAATGACGCGAAACTGGGGAACCTCAAAAGTGCTTGAAAATTTGCTCACGGATAGAGGACAACAATGCTGGTGCAGTTACAAATTTATTGTTTTTTTACAAATCCATTCAACGATGATTTTGTACTGCAAACATTGCATGGTTTTGGTATTAATTAATAATGGTTATACAGGGTTTGCGGATAAAAAACGCCCCCTCTAACTCAAAGCAGAAGGATTGGATCGGAATGATAGTTGCACCATTCAAAAGCCCTTGAAACGATGAGTTTGCAACAATTTTCCTGACCATTTAACCGAGCCATTTAACACCGCATTTAAAAACATTAAGGAGCGGCCTATGCAACTAATTAACGGCTATTTCCGGTCATTTTGCTTGGAGAAATTGACATAGGCAAGACAAATTAGCTCGTATGCAGCCCCGAATTTTATAAAATTGCTCGCAAAACAGAACATTTGCCTAAAAACATGGTTTTGAAGATTGTTGCAAACTCGCTGTTTGAAGGGCTTTCGAATGGTGTAACGATCGTTCCGATCCGGTACTTCTGCGTCGAGTTAGTGGGAGCATGTGTTTTTATTGGGAAACCCTGTAGAGGACGAGCCCACGTGATTGCAATAAAGCGATAAATTTAGCCTTTACATCCGCCGAATTTGCATCCAGGAAGCAGAATCGCTGGCGTACAGGCTTTTTTTGGTCTCAATAAAGGTATCATTTCCCACACAACTTCCCTCCCGGGCGCAGCTCCCTCCCTCCGTGCTTCAACCCGGTCAAGCTTGCGACTTCCGATTTGCATCAGAAGCTACAACCACCGTCGCGTCGAGCCATCCCGAATCTCTACCAACGATTGAAGGTAACCTTTGGTTTTGTATAGAAAGAATTAGAATAGCTCCACCGCATCAAAAAAGTCTTCTGAAAAAATGCAATTCGCGAAAAGCAAAAAATTTCGCAGCGGGCGGGGGTCGAACCAGGGATGGTCCGATCCCCAGCCCAAGATGCTAGCCACTACACCACGCTGCGAAATTGGCGGGCGCAGCGAAAGGCCCCCACAAAGCTTTGCGACTGTCTTTTTTGCGTTTCATGCGTTGGCCCGCGTCGGAATTCGCTTTGCATAAAAATTACGAATTCTGAATATGTTTTACGTCGATAGTAAGTAACTTCTCACAGTCCGATTTATTTGAGTTTTTGCAGCACCGAGATGCACCAGCGCCACAAATCAACCGGCTACTCACCTCGGAACGTCTTCAATTGGGTCCCAAGCGGCCGGCTTCTGATGCTCGTCTCCGCACTGTTGCTCGCCTCGGTCGCCTCCACGCCGATCCGGTACACTCAATGTTTTTCTTTGAAGACTATTTTGGGGCGCCCTAAATTTCTCCGACCAGGGTTACGAAACACTTCGCTTCCGTGGCTTGACTTCCAGCCTAAGTTTAGGCTTAGCTTGGCTAAACCGGGCTAAGCTAAGCTAAGCATAAACCTAAACCTAAAGCCCCTGCTTAGGCCTATGCTTAGCTTAGCTGTAATTTGCCCTGAGATCCAAAAGACTTAACTTACCTATTGGTTTTATTAGTCTGGGCTGTAAATAAGGCCAAGCTTGGGTTTAGGCGGGAAAATTCTACTTTACGGTATGTTCCCAAAATGTCAATTTTTCGGCTGGAATCGATGCAGCTCGATGAGCTTGTGCATTTCCAATTGAAAAAACGATTGGGAAACGCTTCTGGACAAAGTTATAGGCTTTCGAAAATAGCGAGTATATTTTACGGTATGTTCATAAAATGTCATTTTTCATCTGAAAACGATAAAGCCTAAAGAAGATTCCAGTCGAAAAATCGACATTTTGAGAACATACCGTAAAGTAGAATTTAGCCTATGAGCTTGGCCTAGCCTATGAGTAAGCTTAGAAGTAAAAAAAACGAGTTTGAAGTGTCTTTGGACCTTCGACCAGAGTTCCACCTCCCCCCCGCTGTCCGTCAGCACTACCGTTCTTTTTCATCTTCTGAGCGTAGTTTTCTTTTGAAAATTTAGGTACCGTTTTTGCAGGAGCGGCAACGACTCGCGACTCGTTGGCATCGGCCGTCAGCGGAAGGATGCGAGCACGCCGGTTGGTATTGGCGCCGTAACGAGCGCCTGGCTTTGCGTTTCGATGTTTTATCTTTCTAGTGCCCCGGCTTCCGTCCGTTTGTTTGCTACTCGTTCGACGAGCGCGCCCAAGACTATCCGCCGTGGCTACAAACGACCGATACGCAAAAGGAAGCGGACAAGGTAAGCAGGGTATCGTTTCTTTCGCTGAACTTAGCAAGCGGTTCTGGAACCCATAACTGCACTTAAAGGGATAGGGGCGGCAAAAGTCAATCGACGCGCGAGAAAGAAAATGTCTCTGCGCCTCTCCCCTGGGCGCCCTCTCTCGCCGCTGCATCTCTTTAAAGGGATGCCCAACCAGTTCGGGCTCAAAAAGCAAAAACCTTGCCGCGGGCGGGGGCCGAACCCCGGACCCCGGTTGGTGGGCCTGAATGCTATCCATTAGGCCATAGTGGCAAGCCATTGTCTGGGCAGGGGATGCCACAAGAGGGAAAGGTGCCTGAATTCTGCCCCCAGATATATTTTCAGCCAAATCATTGCGTGTCCCTATAAGCCATGTTTTTAGTAAAAACATTTTTTTCGCGGGGGGGGGGGAACCGAACTTTTTTTTGTCGGCCCTGGTGGGGATAGTAATCAAATATAAAGGGTTTTGACATTGTTTTTAGCAAAATTTAAGCCTATTTGAATAGGACCTCTTGAAAAAGTCGAAAATTTGGTCATTTTTGGGCCGAAAAAATCGATTTTTCGGCCTAAAATTAAATTTTTTAATTAAATTTTGTAAAGTTTTTGTGTTTAGGAATAGCTATAAACAATTTAGAAACACGCCTCTATTTATATAAAAAATCTAGGCTTGGGCCGAAAAAAGTTCGGTTCCCCCGGAATACACAAGAACCAAATTCATATTGAAACTCGAAAAACTGACTAAAAAATTTTTCAAGCGTTGTAATTTTGTTAACTAGAATTTGGACCAACGCTCGCTGCTGTCGCCGATTGGCGCAAGAAAAAAGCCGTAGACAGTCAGCGCGGTAAAACTCTTTTTCTAGTGCTCGTCATGTAACGTCGCAGCTGTCACGGAGTGCTATGATGGTCAGCCCTTGACAGCAGCTATTCCACTTGGTAGACGGCTAAGAACCGCAGAATGTCGTCCAAAACTATGTGTAGGCCTTTCCGAATTTCGGCACACAGTTTTTCCAGAAGCCTGATGCGTCCGAAGCAGCCGATTGTATCGCGCCCGTCAAAATCAATGACAACAAGGGTCGGTGGATCGTGTCGGGCCGCTCAAAACTGTGTTTCTAGAGACGCTGTACTTCCCCTTCAATCTGTGTACACGCGAGATGGTGGCCTCCGGGCTATGCGAGGGGAAGAGTCTGTAGGTCATCGTTGGCTACAATTTGAATGGTGCCAACTTCTAGGAGCAACGAAGCATATGTTCCAAAATCAATCCCGCACACGACGCAATACTTCCTTCAATGCGATGCTGGATTTGTCATCCCGCAGTGGGTGTCTGGGCATCCGACGAACCTACTTATAGGAAAAGCTCATATGTTCTTTGTTTAGAAAAGTGGTTGCTGCTGCTGCTGCGGACAGAAAACTCAGGGAGACGTGCATTCCAAGCCTTCAGTTGGCATCCGGATACCTGCAGACGGATAAAACACCACTCGAGAACAACCCATACGACGTCTTCGATCCACTACAGCCCAAGGTAGAAAGTCAAGCCCGACAAAAAGTCTATTAATATTTAGTACTGTCCGAAGGGCGGTCGTCAAGCTGGTGAAAAGTGCGACCCGATGCATCTCTGCATGCCTAACCCACAAGACATGTTCGTTTTCACCACCTATAGAATCTTGTTTAGAAAGTTCTATCCTGGAGAAGGGAGCGTGACCAAAATGTCAACAGAATGTGACGAGCAGTGCGTGTTCCCGCGCCCTGATGGAAAATATCCCCCGGAAGACTGTGTACTTTTGGATATCAGCGACCCGAAGGGCTCCCCTCCATACTACGCTCTTCGTCGGGCACTGGTAAATCGCTCTCTCTCTCTCTCACTCTCTCTCTAGCTCTCTCGCTCTCTCACTCTCTCTCACTCTCTCTCTTCTCGATAACTTTCGGAATTTCAGTCGGGACCGTACGCCTCGTTGAAGAGCGAGGAAGAGACGATCGACCTCTGGCAGAGTCTAAAAGTTCCTGAAACCCCTGCCGAGCAGGTTCTACTTTTCCTGAAGCTGGAGACCATTGTTTATAGACATCCGTCGACAAGGAGAAGGCAGAAGCACAACACGCAGATCGTGTCAAACGTCAGAGCTCCACACTTCCAGCCGTCTCCTACCCGCGCTGCATCAAGACCGACGGACTGCCGGTATGCGATTGCCTTTACTTCTGAGATTGCGTTATCTTTCAAGCATTTTTGTCCAAAAAGTTTTGTTGTTCGACAATGTTATAGCCAGATAATGCACTTTACATAGTTTTTAGACATAAAAAGAATGGTAAAAATAAAAAATGGCCAAAAAGAAGGCAAAATTTTCGGATTTTTAGAAGTTTTTTTAGAACATCGGTTATGAGTTTCCGGCACTCACCGTACACACATTGAAAATCCGGTATCCGAATCGAAGCAAAAATATCGTTATCGAAATCCGTACATATAGGTCGAAAACAAAAATGTTCCCCCTGCTAACAGTCCAGAACCAAAACCTCACACCCCCCTCCCCCCGCTAATGGACCAGTCCCCTTTTCCAGGCCGATCAGAAGGCCATCGTAGAAGCCGACGAACTGCTCGATTGCGACAGGAACCCCTTCTACAAGGAGCTGGGCCACGAATCGCTGACCGTCACCAAGTTGCCCCTTTGCACCGAGGTCGATCCGAATCAGGTATCCGGCCATTTTCACAGAAAAATACTGCTTTCCTGTTTTCAGAAATTCTGCCGAACCTCCGCGGACAGCCAATCAACAAAACCCGCCGCAACAACCCCGGCTGCAGAAGGGTCTCTCGACTGGCTTACTGTTCCGGAACCCTGGGACTTGGTCAGCTTCGTCCTCGCCTGCATCGGCAACACGTTGATGGTCATCGCAATAGCCCTCGCCTGGTATATTCGATTCGGACGGCCGGAAAAGGACGACGATGATGATGATGATGAGGAGATGGAATCGCATTCTCGCAAGCACGACTCGTCCAAGTACGCCCTTTTTCTCCTCACAAATCTACAGGGCTGGTACCAGATTTCAAAATTTTACTAGGGTAGTAACCGGTTTTTACTACCCCGATTAAAATTGTTACTACCCTGGTTAAAAAAAATACTACCGGCTAACATTCTGTTACTAGGGGTCCTAAAAAAGTTACCACCCCGCGGAAAAGTGCCGATTTTTAGTCGAAATCAAGCTAATTGCTCCGGAATAAATAGTGAAGCATCACTACGGCCAGTAAAAAAGTACCCGAACCAGCCAGGTACACGAACCGGCAATTTTAGCTGACAGTGTGGTTAGTGAAACTCCAAATCTATAAAAAACTTCTAAGAAAGGATAAGAAGTTCTAAGCAGTGCCATCGGCTTCATGGCCATCAAAGCTTTTTCCCTTGGTGTTATATACGATGAAGAACCAAAAATCCAATCGGGTCTTGAGTCTCACCCTGACAAAAAAAATATTTGGCGGTATTAGTCTCAAATTATTGACCCTGGCCTCTTTCACAAGCACCATAAAGTTGCCGTAGGAATAACCACTACCAAGATAATCGGTTCCGGCCCTGAGTTAAATGCCGAAATATGCGAAAAAAGTAAATCGGAACAGTTTTACGAACTGGGTAACGCGATTTTTCATGATTGGAAAAAATAAAAAATCTGGCGGATCAGCCCTGCAATTCCATCGCTAGGGTTAGATAGAGCATTTGGGTACCGGGACACGCGCGCTGCGGACGCTTGCGCCGCTAAAACAGTTTCGTCTCACCGGTTTTCTAAGATTCGATAAGATTTCCACTCACCAAGTGTATTAGTACATATTTCTCTTCACTTGTGAATTTTTGATCAACGCTACCGATTTAAGGTCCTCAAGATAGATCTTGACTTAATTTTTCAAAAAATATCGCTACTTTTGAAAGGAGAATTTTCGTTAAAAAAAAGGAGAATTTTCTTTGAACTGAGCGAGAAAACAGTCAAAAAATTGAGAATTATAATTTTTACGAAGCCGTTGGGACGGACATTTTGCTTTACCAGTACTGAAAATGTTACCACCCTAGTAAAAAAAGTTACATGAAAAAACATTGATGTATCTTTTTTTACTAGGGTAGTAACTATGTTTAGTGGCCATTTAATCATGAAAATACATAGTATGTGACTTTTTATTGACAGAGACCAGTAGACCGATGGCCTATCTTTCATACGAAATCATGTTTAGCCCGCTTGGTGCCCATTGACCGGAATTACATCGTTTTCTACAAAACGGGTTACTACCCCCTAGTAACAAAAAGTGGCACACCACCCCAGAGAAATTTTTTTACTCCGGGGTAACTTTTTTTTACCCGGGTGTAACTTTTTTGATCCCCCTAGTAAAAAATTATATCGGGGTAGTAACTTATTTAGCCGGGGTAGTAAACTTTTTGTCGGCGTTCCCTGTCGAGCCTTGTCGGTATTTTTCGTATCTGTCTTTGCAAAAACACGGGTTTGCCTCTCAACAACGATGTGACACCGGCCCCGAACTTTTTTTTTGCGACTGAGACCTGTTAAATTTATTTTAAAATTGCGCTAAAACGTCCCGCTCGGGGTCCGTAATCCGGGTCACGGGCCACTTATCGGGGTAGTAAGAAATTATACTACCCTAGTAACTTTTTACTACCCTGGGCCGGGGTAGTAAACGAAATTTGGTACCAGCCCAGTTTCCACTTCTTTTGTCAAATGACCCTTCTATTAAAATGGAACATTTTTAAATCCTAAATAGTTTTCTAGGCCCAAATACCTTTTATTGAAACGTTGAAAAAGATTGTGGGGGTCCGCTTTTGAATCAAAATCGGTTTTGGACTGTTAGTGGGGGGGGGGGGGGCGGGGGTGGGGGTGGCAAAATCAGCCCTAGTAATTCCGTACAGAAACGAAATAACGTCATAGTAACCCGTTTTCTGGCATTCACCTCGTTTTTCGGCTACGGTTTACTTTACCCCCCCAGCCGGAAGTTTTTGGCTATAACTTTTTTATTTTACATTATTGTAGGCTCAAATTAAAACTCTTAGTATATTTTTCGACGCTCTATCGAATGGCGTTGCGAAAATCCCGATAAAATAAGCGGAAATACCGACAACTTTGAGACCCTTCGGCTGTGGGGGGGGTAAAGTAAACTCTTACCGGGTTTTCGATAAAAAAATGTGTAAAAATAATAACAGTTTACGAAGATTTTTGACTTTGTTGTGTTGTGTTGTATTCTAAAAATGTTTTTAGAATTTTCCAGCAATTTCAAACTACTAAAAAAAAACGAAAGAAAACTAATTAATTGCGCAGCACGCAAAACTTGTTGTGAAAAACCATAAGTTGGACCTCACTTTGAGAACTTTTTAAAGCTGAATTTTGCAGGAAGAAAACGGGCGACGACGACGACGCGTGAGCATGAGAGAAGACGCAACCGCGAGCCGCGCCTCCAGCCCTAACACCAGCCCGAGGCGCGCCGCCCTATTGCATAGAGAAAATCTGCTGATCATGGTGATTGGCTTCAACGCTTTTGTCAAAGCGAATCTGTGATTTGTACACCGGTGGAATAAAGGGTTTCCGCAAATATTTCTCGATAAAACACATCTACACTGCAATTGTTTTTGACATATCTACAGAGATACACAAGTAATTGGCTCAGCCTCGTTTTCTGCATGGTTGAAAACGCATGAATCGATCGCGACCCATTTTAATCATGGCGAAATCTAAGAACAGTCTTTTTGGTGCAATAACTTATACTACGGTACCGAGCGGCCTGAAATGCCAACATTAAGCATTTTAAATACCTTTTTGTATCTCTGCTCAAAATTCTGGTTGTTTTTCCAAAGAAAGGGGTTCTAACAAACCAATTTTTCAAATTTTTACACCTTTCCTGGAAGCCCGAGAGCAGCTTTTTATACAGCCATTTGAGAAAACACAGCTTCAATGTGGCGCCAGCCGAAAAACTTTGTTTTTGGAGAAAAGGGCCTAACTTTTACATAAAAACTGAGAATTTGAAAATCCGGCAGAACATATCTTCCCAGTTCGTCGAGAGCTTTCTTACAAGGAGTCGTTTTTGGGTGATATTGGAGTTTTTGAACGAAACCTAGCTAGTTCGATAGAGAAAAAAATTCTGAACAAAATGTCGGTTTCGAAATCTGCTAACCGTGTATTGTATTCAATAAAAATTAATTTTAATGAAAAAATTCCTGGACGTCAGGCTGCGACGCATGGATCAGGTCCGGGACATAGCCCACAGCGCGAACCAGCATCCGCATGAGATCGTGGCCTAGTGGATAGTGCCGGCGCCTATCAAACTTTTGCAAAATTATGCCCAGGGTTCGGAACTTCTTGGTTTATTGTTTTGCTTTTTGGTTTTTCATGCCATTGAAATCGAATTTGGTATTATCGAGCAAAAAGCAAAAGAGTTTTACTAGCGAGGAGTCGAACCCGCTGGCAAAAAAAGACCAAAACTTATGAAGCAAGCGCACTACCAATAGGCCAGCTGGTCATGGCTGGAGGGAGGCTTAAAGGGGGCTATGTTGACGCGCACCCAAAGCGCAGAATCTGCGGATCAGGCGGAAAATGATGATTAGATTAATGATTTTCAAATCAATTTTTATTGAACAGCGTACACGGTTAGCAGATTTGGAAAACGACATCTTGTTCAGAATTTTTTTCTCTATCGAACTAGCTAGGTCTCGTTCAAAATCTCCAATATCACCCAAAAACGACTCCTTGTTAGATGCCTACATTATAAAGCCTAAGCCTAAGCCTACACGACTGCGGACCTCTAGACCCTGGTTCCCTGCAAACTAGCGTACCATTGGTTTACACCATGACCGAAGAGATGACCCCTAGGGTACGACACCCTTCGCTTACTCTGCACTCTAGCCCGGGGCCAAGCCTAGCCACTCCCGCCTGCATACCCTGCCGCACCATTTCGGTCTTTAGCATCTGTACTCACAATGACTAGTCAACTTTCTAAAGCGCTATTTTCTATTGTTTCATAATTAATAATAAGATGTCTCAACATAGAAAATCTTAAAAAACATTTTGGACCAATCCCGGTTTCGGAAATCGTATGGCATCCTTGCTAGTAATCCGGAGATTTTATTTGAGTACAACTTTAATGGTTCTCTCTCTATCTCTCTCTCGTTCTCTCTCTCTCGCTCTCTCTTTCTAGCTCGCTATCTCTCTCTTTCACTATCTTTCTCTGCCTCTCATCGCTCTCTGTATCTCGCTATGCCTCTCTCACTCTGTCTCTCGCGCTCTTTCTATCTTTCTATCTCCCGCTTTCTTTCGCTCCATCTTGCTCTCTCTCGCTCTCTCTATCTCTCGCATTTACACAGCATTTTAGCGCGTAGATCCCTATCCGAACGAGACGATGGTTGCTGTGTTCAAGCGAAAGAAAGTACACCCTCCGCGGAATCGTCTGAGAACACGTATTGATCCTGGTCCATGAAATTCAAACAGATTTTTAGCGGCTCCTCAACCTCCGCGGCTATTGCCACAGCAATCCAATGCCAGAGTTCACCGTCAGTTTCCGGTAAAAATTTTTATTTTCGTCATTACCTGCGCAGATAAACCCAATCCTTGTCGAGTTAAACCATTCATTCAGGCTCAACGGGCAGGGGATCCTGATTTGGCCGGCTTCTTGCTCTTTGTGACGGGTGCCGTTACCTTGTGCTGGGGGATGACTGCTGCTGTCTTATGGGCGAATCTTGGACCGCCATTGCCCACCCGATATTCGACAGGTAATTCATATCTACAGGGTGTCCCAATAAAAAGTACCCCGGCTAACTCGGCGCAAAAGTATCGGGTTGGAACAATGGTTACACCATACGAAAGCCCTTGAAAATGCGAGAAAACAAACGGGTTTTGTTTTCTTAATTTTTTAATATTTTCTTGCAATAAATTTCTTCAATTTCTGCAAGCAAAATGTCCGGATGTAGCCGTTAATTAGGTGCGCAGGCCGCCCCTTAATCGTTTTAAAATTGCACGATTATATGAAAACATGGTTGCAGACTCGCCGTTTCAAGGACTTTCGAATGGCTATGATTCCGAGCCTGCCTTTCCCTGTATACCCTGTTACCTAGATACCCTAGGTATTTATGGCATCTCAAAATACTGTAAACTAAAAAAAATTTAGCCAACAACAAAAATAACTTTTGAATACGAGGTCAAAAAGCGAATGACAGTCGTTTGTCCTGAAATTTTCCCTTCTGCTAGCTGAATCCGAAAACTAAACGTTTTCCCTTTTCAGCGACCCTCGACGACCAAGCAAAGGCTCTCCGCGTCGGCCGGGTCGTTTTCAGCACGCTGGTAATTCCGTCGGTGCCGGGTTTTGTCGCCGGTCTCGTCCGTGTGACCAATACCCAAAAAAAGGCTCTAGCGACTTTTGTCGTTCTCCAACTCTGCGCCATCCTCTTCGTCACCGGCGTGCTGGTCATCCAGTTGAAAGCTGATATTTCACCTTACAAGGCCGACTTTTGCGAGGATACAATGGAGAGATTGGGGCGTGCAAGCGAGTCGGTAGTTGAGTTCTTTTCGAATTTGGTCGAAAATGTGACCAACGCCGCGCATTACATTGACGAGTGCTCGATGGGGAATTTCCTACCGAGTTCTGTGAACGAATCGCTGATTTTCCGGAATCCAAAACAACACCGACTGCTGGTGGATTATTGCGCGTGGGCCACAGAAAAGAAACCCCATTTCTTGAGTAATATCGGCAACAATTTGCAGTATTTCCTGCCTTTTTCAATCACTTGTGTTTTTCTGTATTTATTCTGATGTAAATAAATTGTATATATATATATATAACAATACACGCTATTTTTCTACGCAAAGGCCATTCAATAAACCGCGGCTGTTGCGGCTACTCGCTTAACATTTTTAGACTCGCTTTTGGCCGACAAGTGACAGCACGACAGCCTTTACTGTTAGCATGACGGGTTTACCAATTACGCCACATAATTAGGCAAGGCCAAAAACCAAATATGGATTACTGTTGCTTGTCAAGACCGTAAAGTTTCGGAATTTTGGGCGAGAGCCATAGGTTTTTTCGCTGGCCTCGTTATTTTGTAGAAATTCTGGGGCATTTTTCCGAACCCTAAATGTAAGAGAAAAGTGCAAGCGGAATGGGATGATTTTTGCACCATTGCAAAGTTCTCAACGGTGAGAAAACCACTGGCTTTTGTTTTCCAAAAAAAAATTGTCTCGGGCGATATTGTGTGAACGGTCCTCAGTCTGAACGGTTCTAAACCAGCGTATTGCAGGCTGAAAGCCAGCAATTAACGTGCAGCACTCTCAAAAATACTCTGTTTTCATGACTTCGATCGCAAATTCAAAAAATGAAACGCCTGTTCCCGCTTTTACGAGAGCATTCGATAGATACCTCAATCATCAAGATCGGGCACTTCCCCGGTCGGCTAGAGGTGCACTTGTTGGGTAGCAGGTAGCCACAAAAACAGTAGTCTCGGTCTCGACATGGTCGAGATCGAGCATCGCATTCTGAAAGCATTGTAGGGTTGAAGCAAAATTTCAGCGGGGATTTTTAGGTTTCGCGTGTGTCGCGGAACCGTCGATACATAGACGCGAGAAGAGGCCGTTAGTGTTACCTGTACCTTTAAAAAAACTGGCACACATCTTGGATTGCAAGAATTTCCAAATCACTCTTCCAAATCCCTTAAATCCCTCACAACCTTTGCGTGCCCTCGGCTAAATTCATATAGGGCAGGAGGGCAACTCCCGCCCGAATCCTATCCCGCGATGATGGAGGGATGGAGGCTCTCAGAATTCGCTTTTACTCCCCCCACCCACCATCAATGGCATCGATTCTCAATGTTTCTGTCTCTCGCGCTCTCTCTTTCTCTCTCTTTTTCTCTTTCTCTCTCCTTTTACTTGAGTCTGGGTGAAGTGGGTTGCCCGGCCACACACACGGCCGATTTTTAATTAATCTGGTCTGGGGGAGGAAGGGGAAGGAAGGCCCATGGCAGGGCCACACCACCGTCTAATTGGCCCTAGTAAGGGCTAGGAAACGAGAGAGAGAGAGAGAGAGAGAGAGAGAGAGAGAGAGAGAGGGAGAGAGAGAAGCCGCCTGGCAGACTGCCAATTAGGGTGAAGCCTGCTCAGGCAGTCGGCGCGTCAGAATAATTCCTTGGTTTAGATCAGACACAGACTTAGGCTTAGGCTTCGAATTAGTGTCAGGCTTGGATTGTGACTTAAGCTAGGCTTGGGTTTTGGCTTGCATCATGCGCTTTCCTACCCCTTGCAGCCTGTTGAATTCGAGCCTTGGCAAAATTCCAACCAGGATTTTCGACATGCCTGGACCTTCAGACGCCGATCTTCAGGAGCTTCGGCGAGAGAGGGCGAGAGAAAGAGCAAAGGAGAGAGTGAGAGAGATAGAGGGTGAGAGAGAGGAAGAGAGAGAGAGCGAAAGGGAGAGACGCAGAAGCTCCCTAGACTGGCTGGCTGGCTGGCCGGCTGCCATTTAGAATTCTGGTGGGACGGCTAGAGGGCTAGAGGAGCGTCAAAGAGAGAGAGAGAGAGAGAGAGAGAGAGAGAGAGAGAGAGAGAGGGAGAGAGAAAGGACAAAAATCGTCAGCAAATCCGCAAAAGGGCAGGCTAGGGGAGCTAGAATGAGAGAACAGGGACCAGGAAGAGGGTGAGAGAAAAAGAGAGAGAGAGAGAGAGAGAGAGAGAGAGAGAGAGAACGCCCGTAAAAGGCCAGTCTAGCGGCCCGCGCACCCGAAATAGTAGGGCCATCTAAGAGGGTGCAGATCAGGGAGGGCCCCTGGTGGGCCCTCACCCGGGCAACGAGGCCCCAGCCCGCCCACAGTCGATATCCCCTCCCCTCGGTCCCCCTCACCCTTCAGGGCCCTGGCAAGGGCCACCCTCCCAAGAAGTGTACTAGTAAGAAGCCGCGCATTCGCCAAGATTCTAGAAAGCAGTGGGTGATGTCTGGGAGGTAAGTGAGCACTAGGTATCTTTACTGGGAAGAATCTAGTATGGTGCGTTGTTTGGAGCTTAGCGCAACTTTTCTTACTATTCCAAAGGCACGTCCGAGGCCAAAAAAATAAACTCTCCGACCACAAAACGCAAATTTTTCCGTTTATCCGGGATTTTGGAAGATTTTCTGGTTAAAAAGAGCTTTTTCAAAGCTAACAAAACCGGAAAAAGATGGAACTATCTAGCTAAATATCTCTTTCTTAACTAGGATTATAATGCCTAAAATTACCTTAAATCCCTGAAGCCAACATTGAGCCCTGAATCGGCTGAAAACGTTTAATAACTCAAGCTCAAGCTATCTTTCGAGCCGGACGTCAAAACGGCAAAATTCTGATGCTCTGACTAGAATATAGACATAGTAAAGTATCGTACACCACCTCCAAGCCGTCAAAAATCAATTTTTCACCCCGATTTTAGCCAAGAATCATACACATTCCCATATTTCCCGAGCCGATATATTCCAGACCACACATGCCAACAGCACCGGCAACCTCGGTTGCTTTTAGCATCCAGAAAATAAAATCGTACTCGCTATGAGCTGAAATTTACTGAATTGCCCTTTTTCGCTGAAAACTTACCTTTGTCGCTGTAAAAGCCTTTTTTTGTGCTCCCCCCCCCCCCCCCGCCCACCTCTCCCGACCCTCAAGGCGAAAATGTGAAGAGTTCGGTCACGCGAACTTCAACCGGCCAAAGCGTGTTAAGGCACGCGTACCGATCTCTTTACGACAAGCCCGAACGATACAGCTCGACAGCTCTACAGTAGTTTTCTAGATACAATCAAACGAAATTTTTTGTCTGTTGTTTTTCATGAAGTTTGTGCGGGAGCGCACGCGACCCCAATTTTTCGGTACAGTACAGATGGCAAGATGTCACAGGAGATGTGGGGCTAAAAAGAAGAAATATGCGGCAAGGATTTTGAGGATGAGTGAGTGTTTTTTGGAACACCTTGTATTTTTGAATGAATGGTGTTTCTATCTAATCGAATTGTTCACAGCGCAGGTGAGATACTTTAAGGCTTTATTATGTTCACGTCGCCATGGAGTGCTTTTCTTTGATGGGCTTCTCGTCCTCATCTTCAACCCAATATCGTTTCTCATCTGAAGCCGAAACCAGCAGAAGCGCGAGACCTATGAGAAGGGCCACACCAAAGCCGAAGGACACCACCTAAAAAGAGGATTAAACTTGGCAAAGTGCAGAAAACGGACATTATATTGCGCCAGTGTTCCATCGGATGCAATCAGCGATTTCAGCACTGGGGAGAGGATTAGGGAGAGTGTTTTGAAGACCTGTAGTGTTCCCACCACGAAATAGGAGTATTGCCTGAAATTTATCAAGCTTACATTAATTTTCAGCTGCTGCTTGTGTCGGGATTTGCATAATTAGCTCACCTGTACATCAATAAACAAGCCTTGTAGAACCCGCCAACATTAGTACCCGTCAGACAGACGAATATTAACAGCATGGCGTAGGCGGTGTAGCTTGTAGTCAGCGGTATCATAAACGATGCCAACGCTGGGCCAAGGAAGCAGAAGAAGGCGGAGATGCGGACGCGGACGAGTTGCGAGACGCATCTAAATGATTTGAATTCAAGTGCCATAAAAAACTAAAAAAATTAAATCGAAATTTTGTTCCGGTCGTAGATGTCGACACCTAGGCCATTCCAAAGGTCGATTATCTCTGTTTCTGGTCCTGGACGAGCCCTTTTCCTGACCAAACGACCTACCGGGCATGGTCGCTCAAAAATCCGGTGATGAATTTGGCAACCAAAAACGACACGCCAAGCGGTATTAGCATTGTTGCTCTTTGGTTCTTTTCGAATTGAAGCTTTTCGAAAAAGTCGTTCCTGAAAGGGTCTAGGTGTCAATTTAATTAATTAATTAATTGATGGATATTCAAAAACCGGCGTTGACAGGCTGCATCGCCTCACTAATCAGGTAGAGCCGAAAAACGTACGCGTAAAGCATCCAGAAAAAGGCGGTGAACGTGTCTATGAAGGCGGCTGCCCAAAGACCCCACATACGCCAGTCGCCCAGCGCTTTCTGTAAGGTGCTTTTTTGGTGCCCGCTACTCCTAATTTGAGTAGTCAGTCCCGGAAACCATTCACATTGGCGGAACGCAACCGCTTGCGCGTTGCCCGTTCCGGAGACCAACTATAGCCATTAATTTAACGAAATCTTACCCTAATCGGAACCGCCATCCGCCCCTCAACATGGCTCAAACTCTTCCCCTCATTTATCCGCAAAATCTCATCCTCGGAAATCCATGGCGAGTCGACGGGCATATCACGATACACTATCACCCAGATTATTGAAAACTATAGGTAATATTTTTATACTGCGCCACTGGAAAACAACTATACCGTAAACGCAAGTATGGCCATCACATAAAAATTCCAAGCCCACGCGTCCTTTTCCAGCTGAAAAATCGAAAAAAATCAAAATTTTGTGAAGCTCAAATGCAGGTGTCTAAATAAAAAACCCTCTAACTCGACGCAGAACTATCGGAGCGTAACGAGAGTTGCACCATCTTGCACAACGAGAGCCCTGGGAACGGTGAGTTTGCAACAATGCAAAAAGCCATTTCTGTTTCTAAATCTACGAGTTGCAAAGCAATTTTTTGTAATTTTGCTATTTTCTAGGTTCCATATGAGCAAATTTGCCCCAATTTCTCAAACCAAAATGACCAGAAATAGCCGTTATTTCGATGCAGCGGCCGTTGCTTCATATTTTTTTCCATAAAATGGCGCGATTAGATAAAAATATAGATTTCAAGATTGTTGCAAACGCGCCGTTTCCTGGGCTTTCGAATAATGTAACTCTCAGTCCGATCCGATACTTCTCCGTCGAGTTAAAGGGGCCTCATTTTTTTATTCGGACACGAAGTTAATGGGGTCATTGAGGCAATTATCTTCCAAAAATATCGAGACGCATACCAATACATTGATGGGTTGCTGAACGACGTCGCGAAGCGCGATGAAGCCCGAGAGGATCGCCAGGCTCATCCCGAGGCCTAAAAAATCCGTATTTTCTCCGACTTCCAGTGCCCACCTCCCATCGATGACCACTGCGACGCCACGTAGCCGATTACCCCAAAATCGGCGGCAAATGTGACTCCCTAAAGATCTTTGCTTGTCTGCCTCTGATTAGAATATCGCGAATCAGATCGAAATACTTCTGCTAGTCAAACTAAGGTCTCAGGCGTCCCTAAAAACTGATAAGATTTACCTGAATAAAGCGTAGCACCGCCGACACAAAATAATTTGTCTCTAGAAAGGAAGGCAGAAGAGCGGTGACAATTGAACATGTCATTCCTGGAATATTCCGATTAAGACGATAGAGAGAGAGACAGCGAGAGAGCGAGAGAGAGAGAGAGTGAGAGAGAGAGAGAGAGAGAGAGAGCTCTATGTACGATTCTCCTACCTGCGATAAATAGCACATATCTAGCACCAAATCTTTGATAAAGCATTGCGAACGGCACGATGCCGAAAAGCGACCCAACGCCCATCCAAGATATCAGCCATTCAACATCACGCAGATTTTCATAAATCGATCCATCGGGTACCTGAAAATCACGGATTTTTAGTGTTTCGTACCTGATGGTCGTACTCTCTCTCTCTTTCTCTCTCTCGCTCTCTCTCTCGGCATTTTAGCGCTTCGAAGTACCGAGCACCAGCCGTGCAAAACCTACATGTGTGCCATTCGGGAAGGATGGAATGTTGAGACGAGCAAAATTGAACACGTCCGCACAGTTATTGATGGATCCGGTCAGCAGAAAAGTGATACCTAGCGTCACCGCGCGCATTCGCCAATTTGCAACATTGCAGCATGGCATTTGACCCTGAAATATGGATTAAATCGAGGCGAATTTCAAACATAGTTAGAATCAACAATTGAAAAAGATAGAGCAAAAAATTGTCGTTAATTTAAATTAGAGTAGTCACCTGTGGTTTTTAAATCATTGTAATCCATTTAAAATGCAATATTAACCTCGAAAAATTCTTTTTAAATTTATAGGGAGAGTCTATAATGTTTTTCGAAAAAGTCTAGTTTTGAGGCAAATCTTCGTAACCAACTAAATCCCAGATTAGAATTTCTGAAAAGTGCGCAAACAACCGGTCGCAGCATTGCAATTTTCGGATCTCACCAAAATTAGGTAGTACAAAATTGTGGGCTTTTCCGGAGGGCAATTCTGGACTTCCTGATTTTTCTGATGTATTTTCTCTCTCTCTCTCTCTCGTCTCTCTCTCTTGTTTAAATTCCAGTTGACCAAAAACAAAAACCGCTGATGACGACTATTGATTTACACCAAATTTTCAAGAATTTCCTGAGTCAAGCATCAAGAATTCGAAGACGAGCGATACAGTATGCCTAAAACAGAAAATAAATTTATAAAATCAATCTACAATCTACTTCTAGATCTTGAAATCGGTAATTTCCCCAGAGCACTAGAAGCCTGATTACGACACGAGATGAACTTATTGTTTTTGGTGGTCATCTGGGCCGGTGAGACCGAGGAGACGGGAACTTGAGGAGAGATGGCAGCACAGATGGGACAAGTGGGACAGCTTTTCATTCCTAGCTTTTGGGACAAGTGGAAGTAATTTCATGTCGTAACGCATTAACAGGTAATCACTATCTCAAAGCGAGAGAGCGACAGAGAGAGAGAGAAAGTGGGAGAGAGAACGACAGACAAATCGAGCTATAGAGCGAGATGGAGAGGTGAGAATTCGTGAGGGTGAGCGAGCGAGCTAGACAGAGAGATGGCGCGAGCGAACGCTAGGTTGCGCGTCAAAGCGAGAGACAACAGGTGAAAAAAATACATGTTTAAGAGGACAAGTCAGCGAAGAGAAGGGAAGAGGAGAGAAAGAGAGACAGAGAAAGAGCAAGAGAGAAAGAGAGAGAGAGAGAGAGAGAGAGAGAGAGAGAGAGAGAGAAATAGACCAGCCCACCCTGTCCCACTTACAAAATTTCTGCCAGAGATCAAATAATCCCCAGTGGAGGGCAGCCAGCCCCCAGTGTCGATTTCTAGCCATCATATATTAAAGATTCGAGATTTGTGCATTGGCCTTCTTTTGCGGGAATGAGGGTTTGGCCCCCGATACTTACTGATTCCCAGCAAAATTGGATGAGAGAAGAGACCGGAAAGGGCAGAGACGGAAAAGTGCGGATAAATGAGTAATCTAATGGGTGGGCTTTTGGAAAATTGCAGGTATCGGGGGTGAGGGTAGTGTAAAGATCGGAATTAGTAGTCGGACTGACAGGTATTGAATGTTAGGAAAAACGATGTATGTTAGGAAAAACGACCTTCAAAGAATCCTTTGCTATGCTGAAAACTTAAAAATCTACCGAAAATTATAACTTTAAAACTGCGGGGAGCGCTATTAGGTTGCCGCAACTGTGCGTTCGTCGGCTTTCTAACATATTTTCCGAAAGAATCTCTGCTAGTTTGCCCCAAATCAAGCCAAGTTTGTTCAGAGTTTACGATCTTTCTCAAATAGCCTCTGCTAGCTTGCCCGAAGGCCCCTTGCCCGACTCGTTACATAAGGCACTTTCCTAAAGAACCTCCGCTAACTTGCTGAAAACAACCAGAATTATATTTATCGCTCAAGGTGCTAGCTTCAAGAATCTCTGCTAGCCTGCCTGCCAAAGTCGTATCTGCTCATTGTACTCACCACGCAAGGATCCTTCCCAAAGAATCTGTGCAAGCTTGCCCGCAGCTTATCAAAATAGAGCAAACTTCTTCACGCTCAAGCCATTGGACCAAGGAGGCCAAAGAATCTCTGCTACCAGGCCTCTTTTTTTAGTGCACAGAATGCAATAACCTTCAAGAAGGTCGTTAGCGTGCTCAAAAGTTTCTGCTAGCCTGCTTTTTGTGCTTTTTCCAGCGGCGAATAGACAGAAAAATTCGGAAAAGTCTCCTAAAGAATCCTTGCTAATCTGCCTGAACGCCCTGGAAAATTCAAGGAAATCGGAACTCGAAATCTCATTTTCCAAGCACGTTCGAACACAGAAAAATTAGGAAAAGATTGGCCAGACTTGCACAAGAAGCCCATTAAGCTTTTTGGAAAGGTCAACAATTTTCTGTTTTGATCCGTGAAAGATGTAGCACCAAAATGTTGACGAATGGCCCGTTGAGAGTGTGGGTCCCCTTTGAACCCAGCCGAAAAATTCGTTTTCGAACGCGCAGAAAAAGGTGTGAGAGAACGGAACAAAGCCTCCCAACGGACGGCACACGGCATGGCAAATTCTGGCTTTTGGACATGGGATGAAATGAGGGAGAGAATGAGAATGAGAAAGAGAGAGAGCGAGAGAGAGAGAGAGAGAGAGAGAGAGAGAGAGAGAGAGAGGGCTGGGGTCCTAAATACACAAAAAAATCTAATTTAATGATTTTGAGGATTAGGAGACAATGACTCCTAATGGAAATTTTGCTGGGCTTTCAGGTTTTCCAAAATTTCCACTGCCAGGTGCCCCTGGTATCTTATTTGATTCATTAATCTGTGGACTTTAAAAAATGTAGCGTTTTTTGAAGAGATCGGACACACTGGAAAAAGGCAGGTGGATTTGGCTGGGCATGGATTCCCTAACAGTATTGTCTGGCTGCGACATGCAATCAGCACTCGTGGTCATTATCCATAACCCATAAAGTCATCAGATGCACCTCGCTTTCAATCGACACCAATTCTGGGAATCGGTCCCTATTGCTGTCGACACCTAATCGCGACGCGCCGATTTTCCCGCTGACTAGGGCTTGAGCGAAAGTAGTCAAAGCAGCCGGAAAACGAGCTTCGGTCCCGGCAAAGGGAATTTAGGACATCGGCTTTCTAAAATCGGGTGCAGCACTTCAAACGTTTCCTTTCCATTCACCAGCCCACAAAATGTTTGGTCTCGGAGTGATTAGAGCATATGGTAGCTGATTATTAATTTTGAATGGTGAATTTCGATGGAGTGGCTTGAGTCAGGAAATAGCCTAAACAACGAGAAATTTCCAACATTATTTGATTGCGTTTTTTCATTTAACAGGCAAAAATCGTCAGGAATTTGCAGCTTTCAAAAAAATGCTAACTTTTTCGAAACGTCACAATTTATTAGGTTTCAATAATTTGCATTTTTTGCTTCTTTGGTCAAATAATTGATTTCTAGTTTCTAGTAAACAAACAATAATCTATTAACGGAAGTAATTAATATTACAGCTGTTTTATAAAACCTGTAATTGGTTACGAAAATTAAGATGTATGCGTGAAGTGTATGATGTGTATGAGGCTGTATTTTGTCGTTTCGAATTCTGGTGTAATTACGAGTTACAGTATATTTTAAACGTTTATTTTTAGAATACAGTAACCCTGGTGAAAACTCAAATAAAATTGTATGGAAACTTCAATACCACAAGAGTAAAATCACACCAATTATTGCCGGGGTGGGGGAAGATAGTACAAAAATGGGGTGGTGCTGCTAGGGGGGTACCCGAATAGATATATCCCAAAAAAATAGCCTCGAAAAATTCATAGAGTTACAAAAAACACAACAATAGACGAAAGTTCTCCTAAATTATGGTAGCAGCAAAAAAAAAATCAGACAACCGGATTTAAGTTTTCTCAAAAATAGAGCAAGAATGAAAAAACACATAAATCGGGCCATTTTATCATGGTAAAAATTATAGTAATTTTTAGAGTCAATTTTTTAAGAATAAAGAGAGATCAAAAAGTTTAACGGGGGCCGGACCACCAGGTAAAATACAAAGAAAATCATAGAAATTATTCAAAAAAAAATCGATTAACCGTATTTTAATTAAGTTTTAAGTAGAAATTTTTGCAGAGAGAACTTTGAATCTTGAATCGGGGCCTACAGTAAGGGGATTGAGCAGAAAAACGGGGGTTTTTGAAACGCAAAATTTTCTAAAAAGGAATAGAATTTTTACGAGCACTTTTTGAGCAAACGATTAGAATCAGAGGGAGGAAATTGGATGCTTAGGCTTCGGCTTGGCTTAGGCTTGGGTTTACCCTTAGGCCTAGGCTTATACCGAGGCTTAGGCTCAGCTTAGTTTGGATTACGATAGGTTTCAGGTCAGCCGATCGGGATACGGTATTTGGAGCATCTTTCAGGAGCGGAATTTCAGGAAATTAGCATCCTCCATTATGAGCCAATCTCAGGCACTGGTGCAGGGCTTCATCCATTTCCGAGAACACACGACACTGATGGCGTTTGGCCATGTCTTTCAGGTAGCAGAACGCGATCGCGTAGCAGTCATTTCTAGAACAATTGAAGTTGATAAATATGCATAAGATTAACAAAATCAATCTTTAGCTTCATAGGGTTCAAAGAGCTTAAAAATTCCCTGCTTTAAAAAATGATATAACATGCTGGTAAAAATGTGCTTTAAAGGAGCTGGAAAGACTGAGATTTGACCCCTTCGATCGATTAGGTCTCGACACCTACGCGCCATTTTAAATGACTCTTGCGCCATTTTAAACGTCTACGTTGTAAGTTTTAAAAATTCGATTAAGCCGCTTTTGCGAGTATCGTGTAGTTGGACTGCGTTTTTTTCACTGGGGTCTATTAACGCATTTTTATACCTATTTTACCGCTATACGCCACGCTCCAAAGTACAAATTACAAACCTCCTTCTCCTCGACGCCCTCTCCGCCTCATCCTCCTTGTCGCTATTCTTCGACTGGAGAGTTTCCGCTTCTTTCGAAACGCACAAGGTGACTTGCCAATCCGAGTGGCCGAGAAGGTAGGCGATCTGGAAAATCAATGGTTCTTTGGGTCCAAAAACAATCCAAAAAGCTCCGTTTTGCCACTATTAACACTGCTTACCTCAACCATTCCACTTAAGAAAGTGGTGGTGGATGGGATGTGGTAGAGGACCTGGCGGAAGGATCGGCTGCCTTTTTTAAGGAGTGCCATACGGCCTTCAGGAGGTACGGAATCGCAGGCGAGGACGGTGGAGTAGACGATTTCGTGTTTTCTGAAAGTTGAGGAGTGAAAATGAGCTTTTTTGAAGATATCTCACTTGCTCACTCTCTATCTCTCGCTCTGCTTCTGGCTCTCTCTCGCTCTCTATCTTTCTGTCTGTCTCTCTGGTTTTCGGTCTCACTTTGTCTTTCTCGCTAGGACTCTCTCACTCTCTCTCTCTCTCTCTCTCTCTCTCTCTCTCTTTCTTTCTTTCTTCCCCTCTAAAACTCACTGTAAAAATGGGGCCGCCTGCTTATTGACCCATTCCAGCTCATCCAAACTCGAGCATCCCAAATATACATGCGATGATGTGACATCCTGCTGTGGACTCTTCACCGCTTCAGATGGTGATGGACAAGGCGACACCCTCCGCCACGGGTTCATCTCCATCCGCTCCACATCTCTATCAACCCCAAAAGACTTCAACAGCTGCTCCGACTGCTTCAATGCCTTCTTCGTAATCTTCCGCTCGACCTGGGTGGCTTGGGGTGAGATTACGGTATGCATCCGGGGGACCGGAATCCGAGCTCCCATTCTGATATCCACGATTCCCCGCGGTCTTCGCATTCTCGCCTTTTTCCACATGGAGTGGAGGCCGATGAGGAGGATGTTGAGCACGAGTAGGGGGATGAGCAGGAAGTAGACAGGGATGGCTGGGACGAGGAAGTGGGTACCGACCAGGAGGACGGTATCTGCGACTCCGGTGACGGCTAGGCGGGAGGCTGCTTCGCGCACTTTGCCCCAGGCCGCCTGAAAAAATTATTGATTTTAGGATTCGAGAAAGAGCGTGAGAGAGAGAGAATATCAGAGAAAAAGAGAGAGAGAGCGGTAGAGAGTGCAGGGCTGAGAGAGAGGGAGGGAAGCGAGAGAGAATTCTAGAGCTCACCTTAGCCGAACTCGCCGTCTTCTGAGCCGCTCTCACGGTCCTGAGACCGAGATACGGTATCCGCTGGCTTGGCACGGACATGGCCTCTCGCCACGATTTCGTTCCAATTATCTCCTCCTCGATGTAGCTCAATGCTTCCTAAACAATGACTCGTTTACCGTAACCCTGGTTGGGCTAACCTCAATGCTATGTAGCAACGGAACCTGATGCGCCGCAAGGATTCTATCCAAAAGATGGCAAGTCCGAAGCCTATCCGGCATGTCTTCCGGATGCGCTTTTTCACGCCATTCTGTTCTTCCTAAAAAATTAGCATTTTAAAGGGCTTGTGAAGCCAAAAAATCCACAGAATTTAAGCTTTTTGAATATCTCTTGGCAATTATAACCCAAATTTTGAGGGTAAGTATACAGTTGTAAAGGCCTGCACTCACCTAAGAAAACGACGACCAATTTTGGAGCCTTTCGGGCCGCAAAATAGGCAATTTCCAGGAAGGAGGTAGCGTTGACGGTAGCGGGGTCGAGCACGAACAAGAACAGCGAGGAGTTCTGGAATTTAAATTATTAAGATTAACCTGAAAGTTTCTAAGTCAATTATTCACAAATTTCGGACGCCTGAAGGCATACAACTATTTGAAGTTTAACATTTTAGTTTATTTTTCGGCATGCGGTTTTTCTTTTTGAATATTGTTTGTTGATTTTTCGCTTTGCTGTCCGAATTTCACGTGACCTCCGCTGTCGACCGGAAACCCCTTCTCTAATCTGTGCCCTCGCGTCGTTTACCATAATTCCCCAAAGCCTGCCTAGACTGTAAAATTTGGTCTCTCTCTATGTCTCTCTCGCTCTCTCTCTAGCTCTCTCTCACTCACTCTCCCTCTCTCGCCAGTGGCTGAATTTTTCCATTTTTTTTAACGGACCGCCCGATCAGTGGTGGGCGATAAAATCGGGAATTCGGGGAGCGCGTGTACAGGGATGATGCGATTTTTGGAATTATTGCCGAGTGATAGGGGCCGGAAAGCCAGGCGCACAGATTAAATTCACTACGCCATGCGGCACGAAATGGCACAAGATATGCAAAACATGTCGTTTTATATGTTAAGAGTAATACCGAATTTTCAAAAATTTAGCAGGTATTTTCAGGCGCTTAGAATTCAGTTTAATCCATTTTTCCGCAATTTTAAATTTTTGGAACCAGCATAAAATTGAGCTTTTAACTTTTTCTATGCATTACCGATTTTCTTTGCATCCCTAAAAAATGTATCATCGAAAATGCAATTAAAACCGTTTGAAAACTCGGAATTTGTTGCAAAAGTCAAAACTTTGGTAAAATGCGTTGAGAATTCGCAAAAATCAATAAAAGCCCTGGCTTCGTAAGTCCTTTAAAACCACCTGATTACCCTTTGGGGTTCGATTGTAGTGAGTGACTACGGCAGCCTTAACGGCCGTTAACGGCCCCTTAAAAACCCAGAAAATCAATTCCTGAATTTCCTCAAAGTTCAGCACATCACACCCATTTTCCACCCCCATCCCGATGACATTTTACGCCAGAGAAATGACGGATCTTCCCGGAAATGCAGCGTTTCACAGCATCTAAGAGAAGGCCGAGGGGTGGAATTTGAATAATTCATTTGGTCGCCGAGTCTCTTCTAGCTGGCCCCCGGTCTTTTGGAATGCTGTGACGTGTCGATAGGAGTGGTGTGTAGGTATGCCCCTGGGTATTTTTGGCTCTCTCTCACTCTCCCTGTCTCTCTCCCTCTTTCGCTCTTTTTCTCTCCCCCTCCACCAGTTGCGCGTGAAACGTCAGAAGCGGAAACCACGCCGTTTCCTCCCCTGGCCCCCAGAGGAGTAATTGGGGCCCCCCTCTTTTGGCCCTTTTCTTGGGGCCCACCACATAACGATCAGCCAGCACAAATAATACACGTGTACCTGGCGGGCCAATTGGACTACTTGTATGTAAGCACCGGAGTACGCGGAACAACTTGGTGACGCTTTAACGGGAGGGGTTTTGGATGGAAATCGGTGTTAGAAAAAGTTTTTCTTTCTTTGAAGGGCAATTGAAGTAGTTTCAAAAGCTGTAGGAGCCGTTTAAGACATTTTTGTGTTTTTAAAGGACCATTGAAGTCATCTTGAACCCTGAATCCCTTCCTCCTACTGACCTCCTTGGCGATGCTCTCTTCATAGATCATGTTCTCACTCCACACGCTCCTCTGCGGGTCATAGTAACTGATCGCCCGCTTTTTCAAGTACGGAATTACGAGCTGCCGCCTCCATACCTAAGATAAACCTTAAATTATGGCCTTCCATACTAGTCTATTTCGCTGTTCCTAAATGCCGCACCACCTACCGTATTCCCGCAGGATCCGCCGAGAAAGACGTCATATGATGGGATCTCCCGGGCACACGACGGTTCCCCACTCGAGCACCCGGCCTCGCAGCGAACCGGACATTTCTCCTCGTCGCTGGTGCTCATTCTGGAATGGGGAGGATGAGATACGGTACCTGGGGTGTGGATTAGAAAACTGAATTTTGTAGGGAAAAACGATAAAAACTGCCGAAGTTGCGGTAGTTGGGACACTTTTTAGAATCGCCCGGACCGAGGGGATTTATATGCGAAAGCAGAGAGTGCGAGAGAGAGAGAGAGTGAGAGAGAGAGCTAGAGAAAGAGCTAGAAAAGTAGCAAAATCAAGAGAGCGAGAACGAGCGAGGCGTGCAAAATTCACCATGACGCCATAAAAATCGAAAAACTGATCTTCGACCAGCTTTCCTGCATATGAATAGCTGCATTTTTGTTGAAAAATCGAGATAAAGTCAAACAGTCTCGAATCGAGTACGTTTCGCTACAAAAGACTTTTTTTGAATTTGAACCATTTCATCGAATTCATTTGGGGGAATCCGTGCAATTCGGACAGATTATCAGAGCCAAAAACTCGGGATTATCCAAGGGTGGGCCGGCCCTTTTAAGGGATTTCATTTTGAGTTATTATATTGATTGGTGGAAGGGAATCCGATTACGATTTAAAAAGGAGGAGAAAGAGAGAGAGAGAGAGATAGCGAGAGAGAGAGCAAAAATCTCAATCTCGTTAATATTCTCATGTTAAAGGACCACTAAAGGCATCGAAAGCCTACGGATTACGCTATTAAATTCAGAGGGAAAAGTAGAGTTTTGAATGGACAAGAGAGATGGTCAAAACAAACGTATCTCGGCATCTGAATGACAAAATGAGAGAGAGTGAGAGTGCGAGCGAGAGAGATGACCTCTCCTCTTGCATCCGAATCATAAAATGACCGGAATCACGGGATTCGGAATGTTCTTCACTCTTTTCTTTCCCCTCGGGACCTCAGAACCAACCCACCGTCATCGGATTAGCGAAATGCCGCCCAAGGCGGTGGATAATTTTTTCGAAGCCCTTCGTGGAATGGGGGATTTCTGCAAACTTCAGGGGCAGGTAAACACAAGCCAAATGTAAGTCCAAGTTTTTGAAAGTCTGGCGGAGATTTTGATAGGAATCAAGTCTAAGATGTTACATTTTGACAGAAACAGACGTTCCATTAGTCTCAAGTAGGCAACAAAACACTTTACATCCACAGTCGTCATCGCGTCTATAGGAGTGATATGGACTAAGTGGGAAATGCTGACTTTGAGAGCTTATTTTTGGAGGATTTCTGATGGATTCTGACGGAGAGGGGGATTCTGATCGGGTCGTGACTCGGAATTATCGGAGTGAATAATAAAAATAGCATTTGAATAACGCCAAATCTTCATATTAAAGGAATAGTGACCTCAGAAAAATGCTCAAAGATCGTTTAGGAACGTTTCTATCATAAAAATAATAAAATAAAATACAGGTACATAGTCTTTCCATCAGCATCTAAGATCCCGAAAAAATCCAGCTGCAAACAAAATTGGGATCAGAATCCATTGGGGGAAAAAAGAATATTTTTGACCGCCGCCCTGATTGCAGGAGAAGAGGGTGGAGGGCAGGTGAATTCTGGCACTCGGGAAATTGCAGAAAAAAACGCGGCTCTGCCCCCGGCAAAACATTTCAAGTTTCCGCTAGACGCCTTTGCACACGAAAATTCTCTCTTCTTGGTAGAGGAATCTGCAGCAGAAAGGGGCGGACACGTCGTGGGCCCAAATTGCACCTATTTTGGGTGCGGAAGGGGGCGTAAGGAGTGAAATTCCGGAAATGGCTGGGGCGGGGAGCACTGCACAACTATGGGCGAGTTGTAGGGATTTGTTAATTTCTCAAAAACGCTTCTTGGGTTGTTGTAGTTGGTAGCTTAGGAAATAACCAGAAATCTATTTTTTTTATCAACAATTAAAAAAATCAACAATTTTTGCAAAACTAAATTGCTGCCGGGTTACATTAGATTGAGGTCAAATCAACCAAAGGACGGCGTGAAAAAAAAATAAAAAGATTGAAATTCACAAAAATAAGTAAAAATGTTGAAAATTACGGTAGCCAGGAAACGACAAAATTTTTACTTGGATTACCGTAGCAAGGGCAACGTATAAAAAAGCGGCAGGTTAAGCTGATTCGCAAAAAAAAAGATTTAAGAAAATGAGATCCAAGTCATGTTCCAAACCAAAAATGACGAATTTTCCGCAAGATTACGGTGGTGAGGTCACTAAATCAGAAGCTTCAGGACCCAGAATATCCCAATTGGGAATTCAAGCCCCAGAATAGCCCCTCAAAAAGTTGTCCCTCCCCCTTCTGATGCTCAAAATCGCATCAGAAACTCCCTCCGGAGAAGGAGAAGAAGAACAAGGGGGGCGGTCAAAAGACGCGCGCAACAAAAGGGGGGCGTGGCCTATCTAGTGGGTGGCCCCCCTTTTCTATATTGCAATTAGCAGCGGGGCGGAATTTTGTTAGATCTGGGGAGCACCAGATTCGAGCAGCGGAGGACGAGGTATAATTGATGCAGCTATGCCTCTAGTAATTAGGATTGCCGCGTATAAATGACGTTGCGAGAAAGGGGAGTAATTTGAGGAAAAATCTCAAAAAGTCTGGAGCGTTTTTTAAGCTCAAAAAATGGGCTTGGTGTTTAGAAAAATCTGTATTTTATTGTAAATTCGTACATAATTCAAAAAAGCTAGAAAAAAATTTGAAAAATATAAATCTCTAAAAGTGTCGTTCTAGTTCATTAATATCAGTCAACCAATTAAATTCGAATATTTCAAACTTTATTTGAATTTACAGTAATACCGCCATTTTTATAAAAATTTGAATCTAATACGCAATGAATCTATTGTAGCTTTTTTGTTATGAAAAAGCTGTAAAAAATTAAGAAATCCGGCTCCATTATGCTAATTTTGACACCTTTCTAAATTTGTAGAAAAAACGTCATAATTTCCCAGACCCGATTTAGCCGCCGGGGCTTCTTTAGCAGTGACGATTTCATATCATCCGAAATACACGGCTAATTGTGACGACGCGACTACGCGACAATACCCCAAAATGACGCTCCCTTGATTGCAGGGTTATGAAAAAGCGTGGAAAGGGGGATTAGTGGATTAACAGGGGGGATTAGAAGCCGCGAAATTATTTCGTCACAATGGTCAGGGGCTAAATTTTAAAAAATGAGTTATTCATACTGCAAAAACTAGTAAAAATTGAATCCTCAAAAACTCACTGAATGGCTCTTGGCAACCAACTCCAGTTTTCCAAAACATTGAAAAATTGTGGAAAATTCGTGTGAAACAAGATTAAGCTTTTGCATGTGCTAAGCACTAAGCTTTTGCTTAGTCTAAATTGATTCTTATGGTTTTAATTCCTTCAAAATCAAAAGTAAATAAATGTAAATTCGAAAAGTAACTTGCCTATTCCTTAAAAATATTTTTACAAATTTAAGAAAATACATAAAAAATCGAAAAAATTATTTTTGACGTTTCTAGCAAAATTTAACTTGAGCTAAATGATACATCAAATTTATTTGATTCTATATTTGATGTAATAAAATCGTCGATAACAATCTGATCCAAAATTTCGCCATCTTCATCAACCCAAGTTACGATAGAATACGGCCCGATTACGGCAAAAATGGCCTGGGAAAGCACACGATTTTTTAAATCCAAAAAGACTCACTTGCGCACGCCGTTCGCTTTGCAGCAAACCGGAAAAACGGAAGCAAATAAATAATAAAACCGAGAGTTGCACGCCGCCTCTGGAGCGCGGGAAAATTCGTCAGACACACCTGGAGAGGAGAAGGAGAACCTCCTCCAAGAATTTCGTCGTCGAGAGCCCGAATTTCCGGTCCGAAAGGGCGCGGAATGGCCGAAGTGGAGATGACGGATTTGTTATGTTCAAAATTGTGTGCTTAAAGGGGGTGGGACAGCAAAAAAGTGGAGAATCGGTTACGACATAAAAATCTGCAGAGAGAACCACGGTGAGTGAGTCAGTGAGTCAGTGAGAGAGAGAGAGAGAGAGAGAGAGAGAGAGAGAGAGCAAGGGTCAGTTGGACAAATAGACAGAGAGAGAGCGAGAGAGAAAGAGAGAAAGAGAGAGAGAGAGAGAGAGAGAGATCGAGAGATGAAAACGCCAAATTAAAAGCTTGAGAGATTTTTCATTCTAAAGAACCTATAAACCCACGGAAAGCTGATGGATGCCTTGAAATTTGGGATACTTCTTATTCGCACATAGCTGTTTACACCCAAATTCTCACATTTGGAATGTCTGATGTGTTCCGCTGCGAAAACTCCTGGAAAGTCGCTAAAAAAAGCCAAAAACCAAAAAAGTTAAGGGTGCTGGAGGGGGGAGGGATTGGATAGCCGTGGGAGCAGAATTTGGGAGTGGAAAAGAAGGGAGGAAGGGGACCTCGTCATCCATTTCTGATTCTCTAGCTGGAGAGAGAGAGAAAGCGAGAGAGAGGGAGAGAGAGAGAGAGAGAGAGAGAGAGAGAGAGAGAGAGAGAGATAGAGGGAGAGAAAAAGTACGAGAGCTGGAGAAACCCTTGGATTCGCTTCAGTGTTTGGTCTTGGGAGGAGGCTGGGGGAAATCCCGAAATCAAGCAAAGGCCAAAGTGAGAAATGGGGGGAAACGGCGATAGAATTGACGCGTAGTGCTGTCAATTGTTGTCGCGCGTACTTCCTCGTCTTTGAAAGTTCACATGTTCTCGATATCGGTCAAAAGATCGGGTGTAAAATGCCCCCCAATAAAGTACAATTCAAAACGAAGCCTTTTAAAAATTGTAAATAGAGACTATTTTTATTTTAAAGGGCCAATGAAGGCTTTGAAAATTACTAAAACAATTTAAGTAGGCGTAAGACTACTAGAAAACACGCTTTATAAAGCCAAATGTTTCCCCGACCCGTGCCATAGCATGACAAAATGGGATCTAAAGTCCTTGCTAGTAGTAGAATTCCGTTTCTCTCTCTCTCTTTCTCTCTTTCGCGCGCGCTCTCTCTGTTTCTCTCGCCTCCATAATTCGATCAAAATCGCGATACCGTAAATGTCTCTGGGGGAAAAGGTG